TCTCATAGCCCTTCACTATATGACTAGTAGAACAGAAATTTCTTGCGAGCGAGCTCTCCTTAACATTCCCACCTTCCATTCCCTAATGGCAGTTCTCACAGAAACTAGCTGCTCTATTGAAATTTATATGTTTGACTATTTGGAAAGGACTCCTTAAGAGAAAGGAAATACAAATTCTGGAAGGAGCTGTGAACGCTCACCATGGCAAGTAATATATATTCTGGGGTATATATATGTATGAAAATGCATCTATGCAATTCAGTTGCACACAAGCTGGCTTTCTAGATCTTCTCAATGTTCAGTGATTCATCAGTTATTATACTCATTAATAACTACAACATTTAAAGGGAGTGATTTTGAGTGCAGCTTCAAGGAAAAACCTACAAGATTAAACTGCCAGCTGGAAGGCATTTTATTTTACTTTCTGTTTGGAATTACCCTGGTTTGATTCTTTATGTATTGTTTTTTTTACCACTGTGAGAGAAAGGGGACTATATTTCTCTCTGCAGCTTTTCCACTCTTGAGTTATCAGGTCTTTCATACCATCCAGGAAAAAAATCACAACCCTTGGCAGTCCACTTCGTGTTTTATGAATACTGTCTGAGAAGCAACATCTCATTTACAATTGTCACCAGGAGCTAGAGTAATTTCTATATCAGCCAAGGACATCTAATAACACATAAATAATGTAAATTGTAAGAACAAGAAAAATAGATGACTTATTTACTTACTCTAAAAAATGTTGAAGGTGTGACTGCAGTGCTGTGGAGCAATATCAATACTGCCTGAGATTGGCAGTACTGCCATGAAGACATACAGTTTTATGTACTGGTAGCAGGAGTTTTGGGGCTGGCCTGTGCCCAGCAGCATGTCTCCCTCTCAGATAGCAGCTTTCATCTGAGCATAACATTACATGTTCTTAATGGAAGTTAATTGACCTTACTGGGGATAGCTCATAAGTTTGAAATTAGTTCCATCTTTAAGTATTTTGCTGGAATGAGTCCAGCACTCTTTAAGATTAATTCCCAGTAGCCAAGTCCTCTATGTCCAATGGGAGTTGCATCTACTGAAGGATGTGGAGAGATACAGGTGTTTCCAGGGCGTGCCTGGCATCTCTTGAATAGCTGCTATGTACCCTTAAATGAATAGTTTCTGTATTTCAGTTTCTTACTCATCCTGAGTTATATTTCCTTTTCCAAGCTCAGTTTAGAGTTAATATGGAGTGTCTTGATTTCAGACCATACACAGGATTACATAATTTAAAAATGCTGTTTATCACCTATCTTATCACTTATTGCAGATTTCTCCTGTGGCAACTCTGATGATAGAAGTCGTCATAATGATGAAATTTCATCCTGCTGGACTTCTGGATTTTCTTTTTTTCTTTTTTTTTAAATATTAGAGATAGAGAAAGGATAATAAAATCTAGAATTATATAAGGTCAGTTGCCAAAGCTGAAGAACACAGCAAAACTGTAATATGTTAGAAGAATGCCTTGATTTAAAGAAAGTGCTGATTAAGATCAAATTTATCTTTAGCTTACATTTTTATTGGACCTAAGCTTAGGGGAGGAGGATTATATTTCAGAAATGGTGCAAATGATGCATGTTAATATCCTATGTTTATTGCCACTTGAAATTACAGCACTGCTTTGAATTGCTGCCAAATCTACAGTTAAGACTCCATGGTAATCACTATGATTATTCCAAGTTTTTGTGGTAATAGGGGGAAGAAGAAGTATGATGCCCAGACTACGGTAGCCTTAGCTGTCAGCATCTTTTTATCCTTTGGGGTTCAGGCTGTGATTCTACTCAGCACAGTGAACAGGTAGACATACACATTGGCCAATCAATCCTAAAAGAGAGATTAAATTTAAGTGGATTTAATCACATTATTTCCGGATTTATTTGGCTTTTATATTTCCTAACTACTTCACTAACTTCCTGAAACAAGAAAAAGCATAGCTTTTCTTTATTCTTTTGGAATGCTTTAATTCCTATTCTGACATGGTGTACAGTTTTTCATTTTTATTAGAAATCTCTTTTGCTCTCCTTCATGTTGATGTATATCATAGCTTCTTTTTATTGACTTTCTTGGTATTCTATGGGATGCGTTTTCACCTTGAAATATTCTTTTACCTTCACTAACTGTTGGAAGTTGTAGATATACATTTGATCTAGATGTATACCCACATATTACTGTGGTTTATTTAGCTGTTGAGAAATTAAGAAGTGAAGTCAGGGATAAACAGCATAATTTTAAGCTATAATTTAACTAAAAAAATATTAAGACTTTGATGAAGAGGGAGAAATGCTACTTAAAAAGCACAGTCTAAAAGAAGCTTAGGTGAAGTTTAGATGTGATTAAAATCTGTTCTGGTTTTTGGAGACTAAATTATTCAAGCAAGTAGTTGTTTATTCTGAGTTAAAACCATCAGCAATCACTTTAAGCCAGCTCTCCAGATAGTATGTCCTAGTTGCATCCCTTTGTCTGTTGCTAGTAGGAAGGTTTTGGTATTTTTTGCGTTTACAAAGTAAATAATACTTGTTGTGGAAAGCATTTTATGTGGGGACAATATTTGTTCTGGAATATTTTCCCCAGTAAGTAGTGCTAGCCAGCAGGCAAGTCTGAACTCCCTGTGTGCTAGCTGTGGGGAGCAAATTTGCATGCCTGGCACAAAATCATCGGTTTAAACTATGGAAATATAAATCAGAGCACTGAATGAAATTCAAAAATATTTCATTAAATGAATTATGATACATGTGTGGATAAGAGTATGGTTAGGGACTCTCTGTGTATACTTAAATGTCTACAGTCTTCAAGTTACATTTTTTTCTCTCAGATTTAACAGTGAAAGATGCATAATATATATATTTTAAGGACAGCATTAGCAAATCTCACAGCGTGTTTGCATTTCATTATATCTGACATTTTTCTTCAGACTTACATCTCTGGAATAATATTCACTGAAAAGATGTTTTCTGGGTCCTTACTATGGGTGAGAAGCAGGTGTGCCTACACACAGGGTTCATCAACAGTGACAACCACTCTCAGCTTTATAAAATTAATTCCTTTATTATTTGGAAGTCAATATTTTGGTATCCTTGTCCTCATAAGATTTACTGGGCTGAAAAAAGATAGCAGGACTTCAACACCGTAGGCGAGACTTTATCTTTCTCTTCAAGTACAGCCTGTGCCTTTTCTGGTGTTTACCTTATACTGATTTGTCTTAGCTGTATATACATACTTTTAAAGACATAAACAGAAGGGAATGTAGATAATGACATTTCTGGAAATTATTTGGACTAGAATACAGCATCCAAAGGGATTCCAAAGAATTAAGCTTTCTATGAGGAATTAGTGCTGCTTCTGGTGATGCAACATGGAAGAACTCGTACACGCTGCATGCTAAACATGAATCTCATGTGCACAGTCCACATATTAACATACAAGGACATAGCTGGGCAGGAGCTTCATCAGGATTCGTTGAGATCTCATTTCAGCATTACAAATGGAATTTGCTTGGCCCTTTCACATAAGACTGGGTGGTTCTTTCTGTGATCTTATCATGAGCCAGCGGGTTTGAACATTCTGCATCTCAGGTAGCATGCAGGTTGTTTGAATTCCTTTATTTCTAAAGAAAATATGATGTTTGAAGCCTAAGTTAGCAATGTAACAAGGAAAGTACAAGTCTCCATGATGAGCACAGATACTTTTCTCAGTGTTGTGATGCAAGCAGAGAGGAAGGGAAACACACTGACCGCATTCAGTTTTAGTTTGGTGTTAGGCCCTCTGCAGAAAACTGCTGAATGAAGATATTAAAGGAATCTTTGAGTGGTGTACCTGGGTTGTGAGCCTTATACTTGGATTATATGTACTAGTAGATTAAACAGATATTGCCTGAAGAGTTTACCCAGGATAAAGGAAGCCATGCACATTCTGGATGGCACTTGTGAAGGTATCATTTATAGAAGCCTAACAATAAAAAAAGATCTCTTCGTACTTTTGGAAAAGTCGTAATTAAAAATATAGAAAATCCTAGAAAGATTACTAACCTAGTCACACAGCTAATCACCACAGATATGGCTTAATGAATGCTATAGCATGGGGTTTTTATGTGGACCGTGAAGTATATGTGTCTCTTTTTCAGCAATGTATGTCAATATGTGCTTCATTCTAGAGACAAAAACTATGCAGAAATTTGTGAAACTTTGCATGTGTTTCAAGTACAAGTGCACATTCTTATGTATTCATATTTTCCCCCAAGACTAATAGTGGTAAAGCCCAGACCAGCTGTCATATCTGTGCAATTCATTAGAAATTTTAATTTTTTGGACTTCGGCTTTACTTAAAAACAAAACAAAACTACATAAAAATTGTACCATTTCTTCTAATATATTTACTTCCTTATATTCATATTATTCTAGTGCTGTTTGCATAACTGGTTGCCATTTATCTCTTAATAATCTACATTAACCATATAGCAGTGCTTAGGATTCTGTGGCGTCTTCTGCAACATTTGCTGAATATTTAAAATATGTTTTGATTGCAAGATTGTTATTATTTTTTTATTGTTTTTTCAGAGTGAGCTAAATAGAAGCCAGCTGGCATTTTGAAAATCTGTTTTGTTTTTGGGCTATCAGTGTATAAGGGCACCTTCTCGCTTGCAAGCTGGGCCTATTTGGTCTAGAAAAACAATAAAAATGAGTATGCATATTGGCATTTTTTAACTATGCTATGACGTGTTAGTGAACTGCAAAAAGTGAAGAAAATGAGAAGAGTGCAACTCTGATTAGATTATGTGAGGAGAATGTCTTTGTTACTGAAAGCCTGATAGGATGTTCAAACAAGAGAAGAGCTCAAGCTATTAGCATGTTTGAGTTAAGGTATTATCTGGACATAAGAAGGAAATGTGAATAACTGAATTACTTATTTTTTCTGCATCAAAGTGCAGAGAAATAAAGAAAGAAAAAAAAAAGAAATACCTTTCTACTCAAAGAATGTCAGCAGGACTTGAAGCAATGGAAAAATATTATAAAATAGTTCGTCCTCATGGTGAATATTCTGATATAACTATAGCAGTGATTACATTTTTACATTTAGTATTTATGAATGCAGCCTCACTAGAAGAGGTGATGTATCTATATGAATATGTTAAAATGAGTCATTATTAGTTTTAACTCCTTTTAGGTTATCTCAGGGTTTTCTCACATGGCATCATGAACCTTGCACGAGGACCAAAATCTAAGGCTGTCGCTCTGAGTAGAGATGAGAATTGTGATCAGTTTGGTGCAATTTGCAAGGGAAGTTATAGATTCTGAAGTAGGGAAGATTTAGGTTGGATATCAGGGGGAAGTTCTTTACCAAGAGAGTGGTGAGGTGCTGGAACAGGCTGCCTAGAGAGGTTGTGGATGCCCCGTCCCTGGAGGTGTTGAAAGCCAGGTTGGATGGAGCCCTGGGCAGCCTGGTCTCATATCGAATGTGGAGGTTGGTGGCCCTGCCTGCGGTGGGGGGGTTGGAGATTCATGATTCTTTAGGTCCCTTGCAACCCAAGCCTTTCTATGATTTTCACATTCATAGATTTGGACAGGGAAGATTAATAGGATCATGTCTTAGATACCTTTTAGGGTTTTTTTTTCCACAGAATTTTGAAAGATGGGGTATGCACAAATTCTGACATTTACACAAGAAAAAATGAATAGGCTTTGTTTTCTGTTTTACAGAAAACAGTCTTCTAAGTGAATGTGTTGTTGTTGTTGTCTTTTAGATCATTCTTGTAAGTTCTTCCCATAATGACCGAGACCAAAGCCTTTTCATAAGCACAGATGAAGGAGCTACGTTCCAGAAACAACCCATTACTTTCTTTGTGGAAACTCTCCTCTTCCACCCAAAAGAAGAAGACAAAGTACTTGCTTACACAAAGGAAGGCAAGGTAAGCCATGAACATACTCTGTTTTGAAGTTTAACAGTATGTTATTAAAAGGATATAAAACTTTTGCATTGTGCTGCTGAATGTTGGGGTTTATGAAAGCAGTTATCCAGAAAGAAGCCACATTCAGTGTTTGAAAATCTTATTTGAATATTTATTTCATTCATGTCCAATTTTTTGCTTTGCGGTAGCTTCAATCCTGTCATTTTCAATTGATATGGTTATTGGTAGTATTTATCCTTCTGTATAATAAATACTGCCTCTGAAATGCACGTCTCCCTAGAAAATGACCATAAGCAACTGCTCATTAATTTATAATATAGTAGAAAGTTAATGAAGCTGAAATACTGCCTTCAAAGGCCTTTCAAGGGATGTAAAATAAAATAAACTATTCAATCATACAGCAGAAGAGTATTTAGGGAATGACCGAATCTGTAGAAATGTAGAATAATTCTCTCATGATATATTTATAACACGTTCAGTAGTTGTATTATGTAGTTTATATATTTTGGCCATCTTTTTTTTTTTTTACTGGGTATATTATCAAGTCATCTCTCTGGGTGGGTACCACTAAACACCAGTGAGCGAGCACACACTCTGTGAAAAGTGTCATTCATCTCTTTTTCACAGTGCCCAAACTACAGCTTTAAAGTCACTGCAGTTCTGGTTCTGATAGTGCTGTTGCCTCACCTCCACTTTAACTCTTTTTTTTTAAGCTGAAATTAGACAAACTCCAGTCCATTTCAATCCTTGACAGAGATCATAAGGGGTTTATATATAGTTGGTGAGAGTAGTTTGAGTAAGTTGCTGCAGCCAACTGCTGCACTGACTTCAGTTACATTATATTATATGTTATATTATATATTATATTGGGGATATTTTCAGGGGTATTCAAGTTAATAGCTGATCCCCAGTTTGTGTTCACAGGCATTTGCAAGTAAGGATGGAGGTAATATGAAAAAGATTGACAAACCAAACACAGTATCTTGTCTCATGGTGTGTTTTACTTAGCAGCTTGAATTCTAACTTGTAACACAATTAGCTGTTACAAATGTGATGAATACCTGTTATGTGAACAACATGCCTCAGGAAAGCTAAAAGTTGTGAAAAGCCAATGTTATGAAAAGTGCCACTTTCAGTTTGACTTGTGTTTCTGATGATTGACATAATCCCTGAGTTTTGTTTAGTTAGGAGATCAAATGAGTGAAAAAACGAAGTGGTAGATTCTTTAAGTGTCATAGTGTGATGGAGACATTGACCATCCACATACAGCCAGTCATTAATAATATTTAACAGAAAAGAGAAGGGGCTAGGAGCTCAAAGCAAGGTATTTCCTTTGTGTTTTGAGAAATTTATATGTGATATGGAGGTTTTCGGGCATTTTATACATGGATAGCCTCCCAAAGTAGTGATACTATTACTTGCCACATTAAAACTCAACTGGACAAAAAAATACAAATCAGTCAATAAAGAACAACTTTTCAATAGTAGTAGGAACATTTTAGGTAATCTGATAGATTTCTCTGAGGGTTTTGGTAGGACACTAAAAAGAGTCAACTGTAAGGACATACTGGACAATCCCTACATCTTTATCTGAGATGTACAAGAATGAAGGGTGCCTTTCACTATAAATGTACAAATAACCTGCCCAGTTGTATAATGTCCTTTGTATAAGATCTGACATATTTGGCCTAGCAGGAAGAGGAAGATGAAGTGATATTGGCAAAGGAGGATTTGAAAATCAGAACTGTGGCTTGACACAAAGAAGTCACTGTACTAAAACCAAAGGTATCCAGAGAGGGTGTTAATCTGAATTTGGCCTGGGGAGATTGTATACTTTGGATTTTTGAGTTAATTAACTGAAATAAAGTCATATCAAACAGTGACACGATCTAAAACTCAGGAGAATCCATTCCCTCCTGTTACTCAAATGATGTCTTGCAGAGGCTCTTTGCAGACGTACAAGGAATGTGGGATTGTGTTCTTTGTAAACAGCAATCATCAAATCTTCTCTGTCTACTGGAGCATTGCAGCCTGTCTCACAGCTTCTGATTTGATTTACTACTTATTCTCTATTGCAGTATCGGCATTGTTCTTTCATTCAGAACCCTAGATTTTATTTAAATGCAGCTCTAGCCTCTGGCTGACACAATAAATGAATGCAAATCTAGTCAATGTAGTTGGACTAATCCATTTACTGCCTCAAATCTATACTCCGTTTTTCTGGCTACCTCAGTTATAATGAATAACAATCAGCTATTCACTGAGTCTCGATAAATGCTTTTTGATTTTTAAGACTCAACAGGGATATGGTGGATTTTAATTGGTAACTAACAGTCTCTAAGGGTGGGAAAAATTAGGGGTACGTTTTCCCCAAACCATTCTATGATTTTCAATTTCTTTTAAAAGTGGTTCCTTACAGCTATTAAATGGGCAATAAGAAGCATCTATTAGAAGTGTTTTCTGAAGCCAGAGATTTTAGTTGACTACTGTTTCCACCTCATCTATAAACTTATTTGTCAGTTTTATCATATGCACCTACTAAAAAGCAAAACCCACATGCATCTCTTTCTTCATTTTAAAGAAGCTGAGTGTGTGCTAAGGTTAGGTACACATTATTTTTTATTTATTTTGAATAGCACATCAGTTAAAAATGCATCTTGGTTTTGAATCTGCCTTCTTATTCCTATTTCATTCACCCTTTCAGTCAGACTGTAAGGTCTTTTCACTACACTGAACCAAACTGTTTTTTGTCTATGTATCAATTTGGTCAATATTATTGTAAGCAGTCAGAGTCCTGACCATAGTTTCTTACTACAGCTGATTTGCCTGCTTTAACTGATTGTGCAGTGGAGTGAAGCCCAGTAAGTGGGGAAAAGAATGTTTTAGTTCTAACTCAAATTTAAGTAAATTTACCCATGGACTTTATGTTGAGGGAAGTTATCTAAGGTTTTACATAGTGATGTAGCTATTATTCTCTAGTAAAGATTAATTCATTGCAGTTTTTTACATTAATCATTGTACTTGTAATTGTAAAACAAGCATTTTTTACTAATCCTCATAAGACTCTCCCTAACAGTTGGTGACTGAACTAGTGAATTATTCCCACATCAAAATAGAACAATTTTACTTGCATTTTTCTCTATTAGAGATATTAAAAGAGCCTATCAGATGTAAATTGGATTGAATAAGAAATGTATGTAAACAGCAGGGGGCTCTGAGCATGTCTCTATAGAGGTATGGTAGGTATTTGCTTATTTAAGGAGAGGAAACGCATTATGAGATAATGTGAAGAAAATAAAGAAAGGAGATTCTTGAATAACTGTTTTATCTCCCATTTTATGTGGGGAGAAACTGTTTTCATGTCTACTCTATTGATACCTGTCCATATCATTAGTATTTGCAGGGATGAGCTGTTCAGAGGGAACTGACAACTTCTCCAGGCCATCTTTCTGCCTCTACTTAGTGGCCATTTCTCACCTTTCCTCATCAAATCTCTATAGAATTTCTATAATATCTTTTGATCCTATTTTAGCAGAGTTTTTAATCTAGTGACTTCCTGTCTTAAATGTGTTTAGTAGAATTAAAGGTAGAAGAATAAAATAAGCATTTGTTTGTTTGGTCAGCGGATGGAAAGAAGATGATGTGTCCTTGTACCCTCTCTCTTTTGTAACTTTGCTGGGACCCAAAATGAATTATGAATTATTTTCATGGTAAGCAAGTAGATATTGTCACCAAGTTTCATTCTTTATTTATTATGTTTTAAAAGATTTTCTCTGTGAAAAGGTATTACTCTGAAAATTGTTGTGGAGATTTCCTGGAAATGATTTCTTTTATTCATATGCAATCATTTTAATAGTGACATAGGACCTGTCTTTTAAGATGTACATCATTCTGTTTCCTCTCACCTGATTTTTCTTGTTTTCTTTTGTAGGTTTATGTATCCATTGACTTGGGGAAAAAATGGGTCCTTCTTCAGGAACGTGTTTCAAAAGATCATATTTTTTGGTAAGAAAACTGTTACCTTCCAGATTAAAAAATGAACAGAAAATACATTTCATTCTAATCAAGAAGGATATTTCCAGAGGTGCAGATAAGAACAGCAAGGACCCTTCATGTCTTTTGCAGATTGAATATGTCAGCATAGCTCCATCTGCTATTGCAAATTTGTACCCACACCAGAGACTGTGCTGAGTGTCAGTGTATATTGGGGTTACAGGTCTGGATCTATGGAGCCAAAGATTAAAGAGAACTGTAATGTCCAATGAAATTGCTTTTTGTTTTAGTGGTAAAATTGATCTTTAGAGAGGAGAACATTCTTTTCGCAGAGAAAAATCTATAACATTTTTTTTGAGAAAGGTTGAATCAGACCTTTTAACTGGAGTCGTATATAAACTTAGGGAAACTGATGAAGAATGTGACTATAGAATACACATATAAAATTGTTTTATTTTCAGGTCAAATATTTGGCTGTTTCTGAAGATGCTTAAGAAGTGATTTAAGCATATAGAATTTTTTTTAAGGATAAGCCAATGCACATATTTCCTGCAAGTAAAGTATTTGCAAAACATGTAACTTAATTTAAAATTAAACTTTGCTGGTATTTTTAATTGATTTCACCTTTAGAAGTGGTCAATATGCACACATGACATCTATTTGTTTTCTATGGGAAAAATCCAGAGAATGCCACTTCTCACATTGTACTTCAATGTGTTAATATAAACTGTGCATAAACATATAATTATCAATTATTAGTATATTTTTATTACAGTACTAATCATAACTTGCTGGTCACTTTCCTTTTCTAAATGGCTTTTGATTTTTTTTTTTTTAGTTCTAGAATTGTCCTTGCAGAAATCGTGCGAGTTGTTCATACTTCCAAGCACTTGTTTTGTTCTGCAATCTCTTTACAATCCATACTTTTAGAAAAACAGCCTCTGGAAACACTCCTCTGATTTACTCCAGTTTGTCTCAACCTTTTTTGCTGAAATATTAGAATCAGCCTCGTGCTTTTTCGCTCCTGTGAAATATATCCTTACCCAGGAACTTAGTACTGCATAGCAGCTGGAATATTACAGGCAAAATGCTTCACTCTCAACTACTGTGCAGAAGACATTCAGCTCAATCTTTAATTAAATAAACTTTTAAAATGCACGCAGCCTGAAAACCATGGAAGTCACTAGCAAGCACATGCTTAAGATTGTGTCTGTATTTTGCTGTATTTCAGAATCCTTATGCTTATTTATATCATTCAGACACAATCAGGGAAAGCATCCCAGAACTTTGACAGACATAACTCCCATTTTTTACTTCAAAAAAATGTTTTTTCATAAATGTCACATTCCTCTCAGTTAAGAGTAATAAATTCTGAGAGCTTGTACATTTATAACTGTTAGAAATAATTTGTAGGTTTTTCTTTCTGTGCATAGATCTCTGACTTTCCTCAAGAATTGCATGGGCCAGCAACAGCAAGAATTTAGGGGCAGATGTTTAGCACTACCCCCTTCTATTAACCCTACTAAGTGCAATATCACATGGGATGTTGCAGTACAGAAAGAATCTGCTGAGAATGGAGGGTTGTGTGTGATGGCATTTCCGTGGAAGTTCTTCTGTCATTCTAGAAAACACTCTACTACTGCAGGGCTTTCATCACCTGAGTTATCATAGGGCTGGATAGAAACCAGTGTTTATGTAGTATATTAAGAGCTGTAAGAACATGAGCTTCATCAGACCTTGGCTACTGGGGAACTCTCAGCTGAGTCCAGTATTGTGTTCTTGGAAAAATGGATTTGATGGATGTACCACTTGCTGGATAAGGAATGAACTGGATGGCTGCACTCAGTTGTGGTCAGCAGCTCGGTGTCCAAGTGGAGATGGGTGATGAGTGGTGTTCCTCAGTGTTCAGTGTTGGGACTGGTGTTATTTAACATCTTTGTAGGCGACATGGACAGTGGGATTGAGTGCACCCTCAGAAGTTTGCAAATGACACCAAGCTGAGTGGTGCAGTTGACATGCTAGAGGGAAGGGATGCTATCCAGAGGGACCTGGACAGACTGGAGAAGTGGGCCCATGCCAACCTCATGAAGTTCACCACGGCCAAGTGCAAGGTCCTGCATCTGGGTCAGGGCAATCCCAAGCACATATACAGTTTGGACAGAGAATTGCTTGAGAGAAGCCCTGAGGAAAAGGGTTTTTGGGTGTTATTTAATAAAAGACTCAGCATGAGCTGGCAACGTGTGCCTGCAGCCTAGAAAGCCAGCTGTGTCCTGGGTGTGACCAGCAGATGATTCTGTTCTTGTGAGACTCCACCTGGAGTACTACATCCAGTTCTGGGGTCCCCAGCACAAGAAAAACATCAAGCTGTTGGAGCAGGTTCAGAGGAGGACCATGAAGATGATCAGAGGGCTGGAGCACCTTCCCTATGTGAGGACAAGCTGAGAAAACTGGAGCTCTTCAGCCTGGAGAAGAGAAGGCTCCGGGGGGACCTTATAGCAGCCTTCCAGTGCCTCAAGGAGGCCTATAAGAAAGTTGAAGAAACTTGTTAGAAGGGACTGTAGCAGCAGGACAAGGGGAAATGGTTTTAAACTGGAAGGGGGTAGATTTAGACTAGATATTAGGAAGAAATCCTTTACTGTGAGGGTGGTGAGACACTGGTTGCCCAGTGAGGTGGTGGATTCCCCCTCTCTGGAGGCATTCAAGGCCAGGCTGGATGGGACTTTGAGTAACCTGGTCTAGAGAGAGATGCATCTCTACCTATAGCAGTGGGGGTTGGAACTACATTATCTTAAATGTCCCTTTTAACCCAAACCATTCTATGATTCTGTGAATATGTAGCATCTTCTACATTAAAGATAGGTGAAATGAATTCAAATTAATTGCTTATCTCTGTATAAATTATGGTATGTGCCTTGCTGATAATGGCTGGTTGTGCCAAGCCCATTTTGTTTTCTTCTTCAGTATCCTCTAAGCTTTTCCACAATATAGAGGTTGATAGGATAGCCTAGGACTTTTATTTCAGCCTGGTAACTACAAATATCCAACAAAATATTTTCCTGTGCTTTTCAAAAACAATTTCCTGCTCCTGTGCCTCCAGCAGCAGTCAGATCTTTCTGCGCTTCCTGAAGAAGCACTTTTTTTTACTCTCTGAAAATCTAATGCAATGAATTTAATGTAATGTCTTGTGAATTTATATTCTGGGAAGGTCAGTAGTTTAAACTATTTATGTTCAGATCTTATACTGTAGGTTTATAAGCAATATATTTAAATAATCTTCTAGGCTTTATTTGCTTTTCAAGTATTCTAGTCTTTCCATTAAGTGTTTTTACAGATTTAACGTATGGAATTTGGTCTTTCATTATAGTGGAACTAATGGAAAGATTATTGATATCACAGGAAAGTAAAGTGTATGCTATCATTTCTGTTTTAGCAGCACAGAATATTTTCATCCATCTGTGATTTAGTGTGGCATATTTTTCCCCCTTCCCAGCTGTTTTCCCAATTTATTTCATTTGTACTTTTGGACAAGAAAGTTGACTAATCCTTCATAGAAGTTTTTCTTCCCTTAGCAACTTAGCAGGCAAAAACAAAAGGGTCAAAGTCTGCAAGCGGATGCAAAGATGACTGTAAAACTTACGTATTCTAGACATTTGTTTCTTTTCCTTTTTTGTTTTTTCATTCAATTTGAAAGGAAAAATCAAAACATAAGGAAGAATAAAATAAAAAAAACACAACACTTTTTTTAGCTTCCGTGTGGAAATACTGAAAACAAATGCTCTGACATTGTTCATTGAGAAGCTTGTTTAAATTTTTCAAAGGAAAGTCATGACATATGGATTTGAAATGAACTTCAAAAATTCTGTTTAGTATCAGTGCAATTAAAAACAAAATACTTCATTTTGTATCAATACTTTAAAAATGATTATTTCTTCATAAGTACTAGCTGAAAGTTTTACTTTGTGAAAAGTTTGAATTTTGATCAAATTCTTCTGCTTGAAAATTAAGAAAATTTTGATTACCATGACCAGTTTTACTGCTGCATTCAAACTATCACCAACCATTGCTGCAGTGTGGAGATTTCTATTGAAGTGGTGTTGATAATGCCTAACATTTGAAAGTACTTTTGTTAGTTCTTAGTATGTCTGTGGGTGAGAATGCAGAGAACTCTAGAAATAGAATTCTATAAGCTGTCCCAGCAAAACATTGAACACCCACATGTCATGTAATTGCTTTTATATATGGAAATTACTCTTAAAAAAGATTTAAAAAAAAAAAAAAAAAAAGTAAATAATGTGGTAATGGTCCAGAAGAAAGAATTCTGCAATTTGGGTTTCTTCTGGCTCTCTCGCTATTCTTTTTGGTCTTCAAGGCTTATGCACCAGTTGAGTTCCTTTTGATTTAGTGATACGTAAGTGAAGAATAGATTGTGAATCAGCAGTCTATGCCAACACAAATATAACCCAGGACAGTAAGTCTTGAATCAGTAATTTCTAGAAAAAATAGGTCGAGCGTGTTTTCACTGTCATTTTGTCTGGAGCCTTAGAAATGGAATACGTGGATGCTGTGCTATATCTATCACTCTTATTTTTAGATATTGGTTCTCCATTTTCATGTAAGGTGAAAACATAAAAATAAAAAATGAGTGTATTTGGGTAGGGCAGCTGTTCTCTGGGGACTGAAGTTCTGTTCTTATCATGAAATCCCACATGAGCAATCAATCATTGCTGTAGCCATTAATGTCAAGTGCAGCAAGTTCCTGCCTATTCAAGTGTCAGGTGAAAGAGTGGGTTTTAGAGGTGTTATGCCCCAGAGGAGAGAAATGGAAAGAGGATTTCATTGAGCTTTTAATGTTGAATTTTGTGTGAAAGGCCCTAGTGTGTGCAGCCAGGGATCTGCATGGGCAATCATTCTTACATTTGTCCTAATCACTTAAGACAATATTTGTTTCTATTTCTATCTGTCTGGTGATGGGACTGGCAGTGGTAGTTACAAAAGATTGGCAGAAGTAATGTTTTTTAATAAAAAGTATTTAGGAACAGGGAGAAAATAAGAAGTAGCAAACATTGACTGTATAAGGTATCGACTGAGTCATTGCAACTGCATCCTTCAAAGCAGATATGAAGAACACAAGGCCTGAAACATAAATCTGTCATAACTAAATGACTTCAGTTTGTATAAATCAAGTTGTAGCTTTGTCTCCCTGAGTAATCAGGTTGCCAAGAGTCAACTCTGTATTATGTTACTCAGAGAAAGCATCTATGTGCTTTCAACTTGTTTTCTAAGCAAGAATTCTAATGTGAAATACTAGAAATCAATCAGTGCAAACTTGGAACTTGCTACCTTTTGGTTAAATTTCATATTAAGGGATTATGCAGGGTGCAGATAGAGGACACTTGCAAGTATTTAGACAGCCTTTGATTGGAAACTCAGCCACATCAGCAAGCAGGTTTGTATTGATTTGGTTTTCGTTTCACGTGGTATATTTGAAGATATCCCTTCATCATTATGCATCCAAGTGAACTGGATTGAATATTTAACAGTGAAGAGACCTGCTGTATGCAGAGGAGATACATATCCATAGCAGACTCTAGATGGTCAGTGTTTTCAACGACTGTTTCCCTACAAAATGAGGCCAGACTGCAGAAGTAAAATACAAAATCATAATTGTTGTATAAGAGATTAATGCTTATGATTCACATTTTGAGATGTGTGTTACGCGTCAGTGGTAAATTTTATTCATATTACTACATAAATCTGAAATTCTAGGCAGGCTTTGGTGTTCTGCTAGTATTGCATGCAACTGGAATAAGAAATTACAGGGGTATTCTGGGAGGAAGAGAGGTAGCCAAATAAAAATTTATTAAAATAATGCTGGATGTCTGTTAACTAACATTCTCAACAGAAAACTCTAAATTTTTGTTCTTAGAATTTTAGCATTATTATTTAAAAATTAAAAATACCTAACAGCTGTATCATGGAGTATATATTCATAGGCAGACAAAGGCAGATGCAGAGACCCTGTTAGTTCACCCCACTGTGGTTCGATGTACACCATGCCTGCACCACAGCTGAGGCAACTTCATGTCAGTGCACCACCAAACAGGAATGTCTGGCTGCATGATCAGGTGGTTTCAGAAATGGAAAAACAGTCCCCAAATTACATTCTGCTGAATTAGTTTTCCCAACGTGGTGTCAGACAGGCACTGGTGCTAGCACAGGGGAGGTGATGAGAACTTGTATTCACAGGAAAAGGAAAAAGCATATTGAGGCTGCCTATATTTGCACCACCCTGCAATCGAGTCAGGCTATTTTCCTTCTGAAGTGTTGCAACCACGGAATTATGCAATTGGAAGTGCTGGCATGTTGAGCTTGCTTTATCCAGCGCGGTATACTTGTTGAGAGATTTCATTTCTAGAGGAACATTTGTCTGGTCTAAAATTAATCTGCTGCTTTTCACTGAACTTCTAAAGTGTTTAGTGTAAAACATGGAAACAACTTAAAGCTGAAGATTCCAAATTCAGTGGCAAGCCCTCTTTTATCCATGTAAAGCAAACAAACAAAATGGTCTTAGATTGCTGAGATTTTAAAACCTTAATTGCAAACTACTGTGAGAAGAAAAGGGAGTGAGTTCTAACCAAACCAAAAACCCTGCTGACATGGAGAAAAATAGTTCCCAAGAAAGTGCTTCTTGTACTGAAAACTTAAATTCCTATTTGAAAAGAGAATTTGATGGTGGGATGTCAACAAACAAGGAAGAACTGATATATTATCGGGATCATAATGGTGTCCTTTTTTCTCAATAAAGGAAGAAAGGACTATTGCAAAGTATCTGTAAAATTGGGTGAAAGGATTTCAGAGTTGCAAACTGTTTTATAGCAGATATTTAAAAGTATACTTTGAGTGTTTATTATCTTCAGTGAGTAAACAGCTTGAGGAGTTGCATCTCATCTGTGTAGTGTAGTAATATAAAACACAAAAGTTGACTTTGAAAAACAAATTGGTTCCTTTATCCTGGATAAACTCTCCACTTTAAAGAGTGCATCTCACCCACTAGACATATCTAAAACTAGATATCTATAGATATAGCTTAATGATATATATATATATGTGTGTGTGTGTGCATATACATATACACAGTGCTGTGGCTTCCACCTTTGCAGGGCTACCTATAAATTAAACAGTTCCCAGCACTGGGACATGGTTAGCTCGGGGACATCAGAGGCAGTGAAGGAGAAGCAAAACTGAGGATTCAGAAGGGGAGTGGGTTAGGCTGGTAGAACACTGAGCAGAAATACTTGTCAAATGGCAGCATGGTGTTGTCACCCTAACCCTTCTGTACAGACAGTGGACACCACAGGAGGTGATCCAGCTGGTTTCAGAAGAGAGGAATTTACCCTCTGGAAGTAATGGTTCTCTGGTTTAATGAAGGATAGTTTCAACAAGGATTATAAGGGAAGTGTCAGAACTTCAGAGTGGAGGAGATGTTACTTTTTCCTGTTTGAGCTAAGAAACACTTGCCTTGTGATTTTTTTTTCCACATCCACTGAAATAAAAATCCAAAGGAGATAAGTAAATCTGGGTTGGAAGCTGCCATGTTCTCTGTATGTGCAGTATTCATTAACACGGATCAGTTGCAAACTCATGCACTAGAAGGCCGCATTGGAAATGAGATTAGACATCACTTGTGCCAACTGCCATTGTTAGGAGGAACATGGTAGAGATCAGATCATTGTCACTTTTGAGCTATTGAAAAAAGTGTGAAAAGATGAAGATATTGACAAATATCTCAAACCATGTTTATGTGTGGTGAATTAGAGATAGAAGAGGTAGTTTCAGGAGTTTCACCCTCAAATTACTTCTGCATTATTGATGCCAATCTATACGTCAGGCTGAGCCTTGACAAATTTCAGCCCTAAAGTTTATTTTAGTTTGTAGTTCAGCTGCATGAGCAAAAGGTATTCAGCAAGTATCATTTTCTTCCTTCAAAGATTTGACTGCAGAAGAGATAGCAGGTTTGATCTGACATCATCTAGAAGAAATAGACAGTGAACACTGAGAAAAGTAGCCCACAGATCCTTCTGTTCAGACATACTCTTATTAGATCAAAAAGAATATAACATCTTTTCTGATTTAATGTGTTGTCTCGAAAATGCTATAATACGTTTTGTTTCAGAGATTATTTCTTTGTGAGTGCAGGACTTTCCCATACATCTACTAAATAATTCCCACTTGAAGTTTCCTTCACATCTTATGGCTTGGCAGAAGCTGGTTCCTCTTCCTCCCTTTCCTTCTTCAGACTGATCATTTATCTTATTAGGGAAAAATGACAATGTGATTATTTCTGGTTGTTATGCAGCAGTGGAAATCATCCAGTCTCTTCCCCCTGGCCTGCATTCCCAAGGAACCACCAATTACTGTGTCTGAGTTTTCTCCACTTCTCATAAATCAGTGCTATTAAAATCATTAAACAGTGATGTAATTTCAATGCAAAACATGGCCTTAATGCATTTGATTATTAATAATTGTATCAAAACAATCATTTTTCTCTAAATAATATAATAGGCTTTTTTAGTATCTGCATCGAGCTACACTTTGTTGCTCAATGCAATCCCTTTACATGTTTGCAGATCACATCTACTGGCTCGATGGGCTCTTACATTGCACCAGATTCTGCTTTGTTTTGCATGACTGTCAGCTCAAAGCTTTCTCTGTAGAAACTGCCTGACTGATGACAGTGTAATGTCCAGACTAAGCCATAGCTGTGGCTGCTGTTCTTAGGTTGGGATGGGAGCTCTGAGGGCAGAAAATTCATGCTTTTTCTAAGCGTACTTAACATGGGAGATATTGAGAGAAAATCAGCCTGTATAATCGGTACATCTTTTCAGTGTTAAACTGTGCCTTGATCAGTTCTGACTGAATTTCCTAATTGGGATATCCTTCTCAAAAATATTCTTCATTTTCCTTATTAAAGCAGAATTTGCTCTTCTCTTGAATATGCTTAGCAAAGATGTGTCAGTTAGTTATAGAAGGTGTGTGTCAAATGTGTGATATTTCTAATTAGAATGAAATTCACATATTTCTAGCCCAATATCTGCCCTGTTTTCTCAAATGTCAAAGGTAATTGTAACAAGATACTCTAAAGCTTTCCAATAAACCTGCGCATCTCTGTGTATATTTAGAGATAAGTTTATGATTATAAAGTTTTGTTTCCAATTTCATACTGTTTCTGTTATTTTCTCCAATTCATACTGGGATCCTACTTGTATGTGTGTTTTAGTAAGAGAAATTTGAAAGAAATTTAAGAAGAAGAACATAGTATCAAATACAGACAAAATGGTTTCCATCTAATGTTTGTAATATAGCGTTCTTACTGGAGCTTATTTTAATTTCTCAGTTAGAATGTTAAAGCTAGTTAGTATGAAATCCTCTCTTCCATTCACATAATTACTATTCTGTAACTGGCTCTGCATAACTTGATTACATTATGTTCTTAGGGCCGTTGCTGGAGTTGATGGAGACCCTGATTTAGTTCATATGGAAATTCAGGACCCCAGTGGAGGTATGCAAATAAAAACATTATCAATTGATTCCCTAGTGTGTCTTCTCTTTTTGTTTTCGGGGCTTTTTCTTTTTTTCTTTTTTTCTTTTAGAAGAAGTAGAAATCAGATTCTTTCTCTGTTTATCTGTAGTCAGCAAAGCTAAAGCTGTCTTGTTATATAAAAATATAGTTTAATTTGGAATTTACTTTTTTTCCCACTCTGAGACGAATTGACGTCAAGATGCTATGCTCCGTTGAAAATGTCCATTAATAGTGAAATTTGTTTTGGCAGTTAAACATTGAACATTTTTTCCTGATTTGCAAATAAAACTGGCAATGTAGCGTTAGTGCTGGATAAGTGTCTGTTAAAGTGGATAGTTACATATGGCAGTCCTACTGAACTAACCACTGTCTCCCAGAATTTCCTTATGTTACAGCATCCAGTATACTTTGAGACTTCAAAAGCAAAATAAATGAAAAAAAAAAAACAGAATAGCAGTCAGGATGTGCTGTACTAAAGAGTCACCATGATTCCAAAAGTTTGTTTGGGTTCTCATTGCCAATAAACTCTTCAAAGATTATTTAATTTCTTGAATCAGGTCATCTGAGTTCCTGTGTAGTCTTATAAATTAGTTGTAAAAGATGCATAATTTAACTTTCCCCGATCCAGTACCTTGTCTTCATTTCAGCCTTGTAAAAAGACAGAGTTAACATATTAAAATCTTGATGACAAACTTCCTAAACCTTTTGTGAGTGAGGTTTCTCAGACTTGCCGAGCCTCCACAGCCCCATCAATTGCTTTGTGTGGATAGAGTGTAAGAAGTTTGTTTAGGAGCTTCATGGAATTTATGCATATATTTACTTATTTTAAATTAATAGAAACAGCAAAGCAAGATAAAACTCATGAAATATTTATTTCCTGTCTGAGTTCTCAATTAATCGACCTTGTGCACTTAAGATCAATACGAGCATTGCCATTGATTTTAGCAGAAACAGCATCTTGTGCAACTGTGTTTGTCCTGAGAACTACGAATAGACTTTTTGGTTGCCCGTTACTGTAGTTGCTCAAAGCTGCTTATGAAGAAGACTTGGAAATAAGCAAGAGAACTTGAATTGACTCTAGCTGCCTTTTAAACAGATCCAGATTTTAAAACAGATATTTGTGTTGAGCACACTGGTTTGGCCTTTTCCAATGAAATGCCATAATACATGGAATGCATTTCCTACTACATTGCAAAAACAGTGAAGGACGTGCATGTGCATGCAGATGCGTTATTAACTTTTTCACACTGGAGCATGGAGAAATCAGTGGCCTGAGCACAGGATCATGTATGTGACCATTCTCTCACTGAGTTTGGGAAAGTCATAGTTTGTACTCAAAAGCTTGTGGCATGGGTGAGCTGTACAAGTGCTTGCATCTAGGAGAAGGTCACTGGGCTGCAGCTGTTGTAAAATAAGATACTGAGTCTCCACTTGCTGTTCAGGAGAGGATTGAGATGTCCAAGAGAGCAGATTGCATAAAAGATGCAGCCTGTGCCTAGCTGGACAGGAAGAGAGAGGCCATAGCCTCCACTGATATAAGTCACTGCAGGCTTTTTCAGCAAGGTATTAATTCACACCATAGAAGTCCTGCCCCAGCAGCGCAGTTCCAATACTGTGTGTTGGCTTTTCTATGCAGCTTTGAAAATAGCCTTTAAAATTCCATACCCTGTCTATTAAACTGTGTCTGATTCTCTTCTCACTTATCACAGTTTTATACTGAGGCTGATCTATTGATTTCAGTTACACTGTGTAAGGATGCTGCTTCTTTAAAGGAGTAATTTTGCTCTGTGCATAGGTTAACTGAGAAAAGAGGCTCCTTCTATTATCCCCAACCATGAATGTCTCATTCATCTAATCCCTAATCTCTCTGGACCAGCAAAATTTGGATAATGACAGCCTTCCTCCCACAAATGATCTGAACTGTAAGCAGTTAATGTATTCTCAGTACATTAGAGATTGAAAATCTCTTGTATGAGGGCTTAATATAATAATCCTGCATCTAAATCGACTGGCAGAGGCAGCACTATCCCTACATGAATAGCATTTTATACTTCTTGCTGCTTTTTTTCTTGAAAGCCATGTCATGTATTTCTGTCTCTTCCCTCAGGTTATCGCTACATCACTTGCCAGATTCAGAATTGTTCTGATAAGACAATGACAGTCCAGTTTGCTGGTGGCACTGATCGGGATTCCCTGACTGTGCAGGATGACTACATATTCCTTCAGGTAATGCCACATTCTGGGGAGACAGCCCATTTTAAAATTCAGAAATACAATTTTAGACAGTAGCACTGTAATGGAAAAGAGCATGGAGAATCCTGTTCCAGAGTATGAATGATGAGTTATGATTTATTATATGGTACAAAGCTGTTCTTTATCAGTCAAAAAAGAAAAAAGAAAAATAATTTGTGCACCTATTGACTAATACCTAGCCAATTTTAATTCTTCATTGACCTAACTTTAATTAGATAGCATTTTTTTCAGGAGGATTATCTAGTTTAAAATTACTTTTTTAAAATACTGTTGTTTGTTAGGCAGATTACATCTCTCCAGGGCTCATGCTTACACTGTCTTGTGGGTCCCTTCCATTATGTCCGTAAAGGTTCCCTGAGAACAGCTTCAAAGGAAAGCCACTAGCAGAGCAGCAGGTCAGCTTTTCCATGTCGATTATCCTGTGAAGAAGTGTTGTTGGGAAAGAAGCTATATGGCTGTGCTTAGGATCCAAAAGGAAGGCACTGCCGTAGCTTGAAAACATTTTGTGATGGAATTATGCTGGGGTTATTTAATTCTCAAACTAATATAATTCCTAGCATCAGGTTAGATAATAGGTAAAATTTCTTCTCAGAAGGAATGGTGAGGTATTGTAAAAGGCTGTCCAGGGAGGTGATAGAGTCCCTGGAGATGTTCAGGAAACATGGAGATGTGGCACTGAGAGACATTATTAGTGGACATGATGGTGATGAATTGGTGGTTGGACTAGATGATCTTAGTGCTCTTTTCTGACTTCAGTTATTCTGTGATTCTAAACAAACTCGCCTGCACAAACCTAGTTTGGAGCTCTGTTGACTTTATTGCCCCAATCAAGTGTAGCTTGAGTGGAGCCGAAAGTGCCATGCTTGGGACTGGCTGGGGTTTGAATCTGTCAGAGCTGAAAACTTCTCAAAGAAAGGTTATGTCCTACCTGATTTTTAATGTTTTCTTAGGGAGGCTGTGTGTACCTCTCCTGTGACTGGCTATGATATATCTCTTACTTGAATATGATTTGCTTGTTGCAAGGCTCGTCTGTTTCTTGACTCTTGCAGGAAGGCAGTGCAATGGCAATCAATACCCACACCACTACCTTGGTGTACTTTAGACTGACTTTTCTGCAGCTTTCCCCTCGTGGCTGTTTCTTCCAAAAGGATTTGTCAATTGATAATGAGGAGAAAGATCTGTATACCTTTAGGTCAGCACAGCGACTTCAAAGACCCACACAGCTTAAAACATTTAGCACCATAAAGGAGTGAAATGGAGTTGGAAAAGAATTTTTGAATTCAAGTGGGCATTTTTCAGCTCAAATCTAGCATTCATGGCACCAATTTTTCTCAAAGGTATTATTATCTGCAACTCCCACCAAGCTCACTCTAAAATCCATTTCACAGTTTGTAGATGGTGAGAATTGCATCTTACCACATATAGTTACAGATTGCTGTGCTCAGCAAAAAACAGACTGCTTCCTTCTCAAGCATATGTGTGTTGCTGGATATCTTGTATAATTGCATCCGGAGCTGCTGTTATTCTGTCATGTAGTGAGCCTGGGCAAAAAGAAAATGGGAGTGCAACTTGGAGATGTGTGCATGAAATACTGGACAGTTGCTTTTGCAAAACTATGCCATTGGTAATATGGTCTCTGTAGCTTTGAGGTCTGTTAATACCAGTAGATGTAAACACAACGGGAAAACATCTCTAGTCCTTTCTTTTTAGACTTATTGCAGTGCATCACAGTATGCTATACACAATAAATCTTGCTTGTTGCTTAGCTGGCTCACAGTTAACCATGTCTATATTACCAAGGAACAGAAGATATCTCTGCGATCTTTTAATCACATCTGAAGTGCAGCCACCTTTGAGGTATGGTGCAGTACATTGCTTTTAGCCTTGCCACTGAAACCACACAGCAGCTGTGCATCTGAGAAACAGCATATTTCTGAAGCCACACGAAAGTTCATTTTTCACTAGGCTAAAACATTGCAATGTAAGTAAGAATCAGACCAGGGACTGCTCTTGATATCATAGCAATATCTGTCAGAAAAAAGTTGGTCAGTCGTCTGTGTAGAAAGAGGAGAGTCTAAGATTGTAGTTTTGCCCCAAGCATTGTTCATCCACTCCAGCTGGCAGCTGTGAACCAGAGCAAGGCAGTCTGCAGGGCCAATCCTGTTCCCATTCACAGGCTTTAACCAAATACTCAATCCAATTTCTTTAGTACGTCTATATCTATGAAGATCAAGAGCTTTCTGACACTCATTGCTTTCTTCAGTTTGCACTGACAGCCAGGCAGTTTTAGAGGTGATTTTGGCAGGATGATTAAAATTTTGAGACAGACCAGCCTTTAATGTCAGCAAGGCTTGGCACAACTAGCTCCTTCCACTCTAGTCCTCTGCTGCCTTCCATCATCCCTTGTCATTTAAAATTAGTCACATAAGATAAATGCATAATGAAAAAGGAGGGTACTGTAAGATGGATAAGACTGATATTTAACACTAATTAAATAAATGGTGAACTTTTTGCTTTAATCCATCACTTAACAAATCATATTCCTAAAGGGCATCACATCCTTTCTACCAAAAAAAAGACTGGTTTAAAAAAACAGTAAAATGATTACAGTCTTAGATATTTTTAAATATTATAGTAATTGGGGCTCCTGTCATGCATCAGCACTATTTAAAAAAAAAAAAAAAAAAAAAAAAAAAAGTGTCAAGCTTACTTGCTTTGGGATAGGCTGTTCTCCAAATCAGGTTCATTTTATAAACATGTACTTCAAGAATGTGATGACCTACTGCCAAGTACTGTGTTCAGTGTGGCAAACACCATTTGATTTAATTAGGAGCTTTACCAAGCAGTTAACTGCAAAACCTTGATTTTTTTTTTTTTTTTTTAATCTCCTTTTAGTATTATGGAAGCCACAGTGAACCTTCATTTGGCATTTATCTTCCCTGAATTAGATTAATTTTTAAGGCTTTTTCATAAATGACACTGAATTGCTACCTTTCATTTAACCATCAGCTTGCTCCATTTACTTCCTTCTTTTGCTCTGATATGACTTACATGGGAAGTTGAAGTGAAAAAAAATGAATTAAGAGTCTCTTAAACTGTTATCTCCTCTATTTTTCTGTCTCAGTAAAATTTCATTTGTTTGCCTGAGCAAGGCAGTATCCATATTTGTGGAGGAAGTGAAAAACTGCCATAAGAATATTTTTCCCCCTGATGGTGGCAATGGTTTTGTCATACAGCATTTTGGCATTACATTTCTGCCTATGGACCTACTGAGTATTTTCAGTGGTGCATCAGAACAATATTTGCACTGGTTTTTTTAGGACTTCTGCAAAAGTCTTAAAATTACCTCTATATTGCCTATTACAAAGTGGAGAAAGTCATATGCTGGTATGTCTTTCAATGTGCAATTCTGTTGGCTTTCTTGGGTGAAAGTCTTCATAAAATTCCAGATAGGAAACCTAATCTGTCTCCGTTTTTATGCAAGAAAGCAGTTGAAATATGTTTTACCTCTGGTTTAAGCGTAGAATTGTGGCTTCAGGACATGTAATTGATTTTCAAACTGGCTGACTGAAGATGTGGGAATTGCATCATTGTCTTCTATACTGCATGTTAGCATCTTGCACTGGGAAATGTCTCATCCTGCAAGGCAAATATTAGCCAAACATAATGAGCGCTTTATATAATGTTAGCATGGCTTATTCAGTCTTTTATGCTCTTATTTGAGTAGTGTTGCTGGCGAATCACTTGCCCTTGAGACATCTAATGTTCGCAGCCACTGTGCCACCTTCTTGCCTTCTTTCTGCTGGCAGGGGGTTTCCATAAAAGGGCAGAAACACTGTAGGCTGATGGACGACAGTGTAAATAAATTTAAAAGGACAAGGCCAGTGAGATGGTTGCATCTCAGGTATCACTCAGTGCAGATGGACTGGCAAAAAGAAGGAAGGAAATCAATTTCTTCTTTCTAAAGAGGGGGAGAGAAGTTTGAGTATGCTATTTTCCCACAACTTCTGATATATTCTTTTATAAGCACATTGTGCTTATAAAATACAATACAGTAGAAGTAATAGCTATATATTTCAGTTCCTTGCTTAAAAAAATAATAATAAAAATTTCTTACAGTAGAGACATTTTATATTTAATATGAACTCTAAACTACCATGCAATTCTGTTTTTTCCTTTGTATAGACAACATCAGCAAATCGGACCAAATATTATGTATCTTACCGTCGAAATGGCTTTGTGCAGATGAAGCTGCCAAAATATGCCTTGCCAAAAGTAAGTGCACACATTTTTCTTTCTACTTCTGTATTTTTATTCTTCTCTTTCCACCTAAACTAGCTTTACTCTTTTCTGTTTTAAACCTCAATGATTTAAGACCATAATTTCTCACTGTAGTGGATTTTTGATTCCTATTTGTGGTATATTCTTACCCTACTGTTTTTATGTTTATTATGGGGAAGTAGTAGCTCTAACCATAGAGGGCAAGAACATAGGCTAGCCTATATGTCATCAGTTACCACAGTAGTTTCTGAGCTTTGCTTCTTTGAAGCAGTGCTACACACCCAATGGCAATACAATGCAAGTGTTTTTTCAGGAATCAATTGCAATTTAATTCCATGTGGTATTTTCTGGTATAAGTATGAATAGTAATATAAGAGGGTTTCAGCAGCTGATGATGCTCTATTTCATGAAGGAATCCCAGTATGGACTTTAATTACTTAAAAGAATGGCAGAGTTTTTTTTTGAGAGTTTCCCTTAATCTAGAATATTTTTATGTTTGCACAGTAAATTAGCACTAAAGCACAGACAGATATTTCTATGCAGTCTGAATGATGCAATTGAAATTTTGTGCTGCACACAATATGTTTCGTGTTTTTCTGTATACTTAGAAGGCGTCTGCAATCCTGAAGAAAAATGACTTGGCAGCTTTTCTAGACTCAGTGGATAAAACCCAAGTAACGTGGTCTGGCCTCCCACTTCACCCTGACTCTAGTGGGGATTTGTTCTACAGACCTCCTGATGTTATATTTCAGGTGGTTTTGTGTGATTCCATTGCTTTATGTATTAGAGAACTAGGATGTACCATCTGTGCATATCTTGAAATGCACTAGTTTAATTCACTGACCAAGCGCTGAATGTCAATGCAGTACAGTTTATTTCCTTGCTTTGTTGTTATTCTTGCGAAACAAATAGTTATATATTTTTCTAACTAAGCGATGGTCTGAAGACTTCTGCTTTTAAGTATACAGCATATTAACAAGACTCTCAAATAAAAGCTCAGATATTATTTGGACATGAATCTGAGATTTGGCTATGTTCCCAGTAGCATTACGCAGATAGCAATTTATTGATTTATTTATTTATTTTGACAGGCAATGGATAGTCAAGGACAGGTAAATATATCAGCCCTCCCACATAATTATTTCAATGTTTCAAGGCCTTCAGTGTACCCTTTTATGCTTTCTTGGGGGAATTTGTAATTAGGAAAACAACAGGAGGATTTCCAGATGTAAATGTTAAAATGTTCCAAATGTGGGCAGTCTGATGGCTTACAGACCACCAGCAACTTCTGTTGGGGGCAGGGACCTCAAGTGCCTGCAGCTTGTGGGTGGATGACCTGCAACAGGGCAAAAGGAGCAAGGAGCAATAGAAGACCGCAAGTTGTACCAGAGGAGGTTTAGGTTAGACATGAGGAAAAACTTCCCTCAGAGAGTGGTCAGGCACTGGAATGGCTGCCTGGGGAGGTGGTGGAGTCGCCGTCCCTGGCAGTGTTCAAGAGGCGCCTGGATGAGGAGCTGCGAGATCTGGTTTAGTGCTTGTGGTAGCAGTGGTAATGAGAAGACAGTTGGACTAGATGATTTTATAGGTCGTTTCCAACCTTGTGATTCTATGATTCTAAGACTGGAATAAACAAGGAGAGAAGAAGAAGGAAGTCCTCTGGCAGATGACCCCAACTTCCACTCATGTACAGCCTATTGCCTCTCCGAAGTAGTCAGGAGGGGCTGAATGAACATAAAATGGAAACAAAGAATGTGTGAAAAGAGGTGTTTGATCTCAGACTGGAAAGGGAGGGTGTTTACATCAGTGTCCGAGTTTTTTTATTTCTTATACCCAAGTAAATAAGTAAAATTACATACTAATTGTCAATACATTAAATCAGTTAAAATTCTCTCCATCAAAATGTTCTGTCCAAATTCCTGAAGAACTAACAGCACAGCAGTGCAAGTGTTAACTATGTTAGCTCATGTTGTAAAACAGTTATTAGTTTGGACATGGAAGTGCAGAAATATTGTGCAAAGGAGCCAGGCATTTCTCCACAACTAAATAAGACTATTTTCTGTTTGCTGTAGGCATCCATGTTTGTAATAGATTAGTTTCTGTCATTGTGAAGAACATCAGTAGATTTTGTTGAAGGGCTAGAGGTAAGGAGTGAGGGATCTAGATCACTCTCTGATGGAGCTTTCCTTCGCTTTAAAACCAGTTTAAGAAGTCCCTCTCCACTCATTCATTACAGTTCACTATGGCCTCTGTTGTATTTGTGGAGTCAATCTACAGAAAATATCACTGAGATCAATGATCTGAATAAAAAATGGCCTTAGAAAAAAAGTGTAATTTATCTTTCTTTGAAAGAAAGGTCAAGAGGCGACTTGATTATTGTGAAGAAGCCTCCTTCTTTTGAGAAAGTACTTAATAGACTTAAAAGTGCTATAGAAGAGAAAGACAGACCCATAGATGGTAACCGAAGCCAGCCTTGTTCAAATTAGAAACTCCACTCAACTTCTTATTAGTGTTGGTGATAAGTATTTGAAAAAGTGCCAAGAAAAGTGGCAGAAATTCTAGATATTGAAATTTTAAAATCGTATCTGAATGCCCTTCTGAGGGATTTGCTCCTCCTGCATGTCATATGTTGTACAGTAATAGTTGGAAAAAAAACAAAGAGCAAACTCTAAGAGATCTAATCCCCAATTTTAGCCTTCAAATCCATTAGTCTGAAAAGATGATTAGTTTACTGTACATGTGATCTTACTGAGTGCATTTCTGACATATTCAAAAAGCGTCAGCCATAACTCACTGCTGTTTCTGTCTTATGTAGTCTAGATTGTTTGAAATAACCCTGCATACTGAATTCTTTGTCCTTGCCAGTATCGTTTATGTTTATTTGTCTTTTCTTTTTTCCTTCTAAGGAGGTTAACTAGAGCCTTGGCTGAGTAAATAAATTAGAAGTTAACAGTTTCATTTTGGAAAGAGTCAGCGACTAGCTGGGAACAGATTGAGTGTTTCATTTGGAAAAGAATGTTTTTATGTTGTTCCTAGTTGAGGCTGTACCCGATGAGTGGAACGAAATATTCTGTATATCTTTAGCATTTTGATGATGCCTCCAAGAGAAGTTTCTTTGGTATCTGCTCACAACAGAGCTGAAAATTTCACTAAGAGGGCCTGGAAGCCAGACATCAATTAGAACAGCGATGAGTGTGAGAGATTTTAACATTTTCTGTAAAAGATATATTTTTTTAAAGTGATTTGCTATTTCTTTATTATAGCAGAAATGTTGGTTACTACAGAAAATAGAGCAGCTCTGAAATTTCATCCCATGGTATTTTAGTGAGAGTCATCAGAGTGCAACAGAAATGTGTTTTGTCCAATCTGGGCAGAAGGGGAAAGATAAATATGAGCAAAGTATGGGAGAAATTTTGCAAAGGAGCATGATATCAGCAAAAACACTGAGACAAGAGACTTCAAAAAATCACCTTCTAAATGGTATCTGTGATGTGGCATGTACCTGCCCAGAGATGGAGCAGTCACTGTATATAGGGAAGGGAAAACTGTACACAAGTCAGAGGGTATTACAGGATGGTCAAGCATTTGTCTGAAAGCATCAGAAGTGTCCCCGCTGGAGCCCCAGGCTCTCACCTGAGGGAATACTGCTGGACTTCTCTGATATTATTCTTGTGCAGCACAGACACATTTTACAGTAATTTTATTATGGAGATAGAATGAGTGTTTTCAAACTGAGTAATTAAAAAATGTTGATGTTTTTGTTTTCTTTTGATACAAAGAGGTTGAAAATCTGCAGAAGATTATTCCTTTTTTTTTTTTTTTTTTTTTTTTAATGTTGCTTTTATTTGCATTTATGTTTGTATTTTTCCAAACATAGCCCCAAAGGAAAAAAGAGAAAAGGATGAAAGCATCATATCTCAAGGCCTCCTTACTCATCTATCAAAGACTGATAGAACCAGCCTTCAGCCAAGCCTTGCATTTTCTAAACGTCATTTAATTTGTTCTTTCTTTCAGTCTTTGGGTCCACTGTGCCACTTTGGACTGCGTTTTTGTAACACATCATAGTAGCTATGTATGTACAGAACAGACCTGTTGGTAGTCGTCTAATGAACAGAAATCAGGGGTTTTTTAGCTGCTTTTGAGGGATTTTCTGTAGCATGTTGGATAGTGACACCACATTGAATCACACAGCTGTCTCCTGTACTTTGCAGGAGTCATGTGTTGGCCATGAGAATCTGTCCCAGGGAATCTAGAGAGATCCGGAGAGATTCAGCAATTCAGATTGAGCTGTTTTCAGCCTGGAGCAGGGCTTTCGCTGCTACCTTTGGGAGGGTGGTTCTGCTGAGGGGTGCTGGGTGCAGCCCCACCAACCACCACACTTGTCTTGCACTAAAGTCCCTTCAGCAATGATTGCCCTTGCCTAGAGGAGTGTGGTTTGCAGGAGTAGCGTGTTGATTTCTGGTCCTTGTTTATTATATTATTTTCTTTTCTGGAGATACTCAAGACCTGTCTGGATGCTTTCCTGCTCAACCTACCTATTGATAGGGGACCTATGTTAGCAGGGAGTTGGGCTCGATATCTCCAGAGGTCCCTTCTAACCCTTATGATTCTGTGATGTTGAGTTGTGCCTTAATATGACTAACAGTGGAAGTGGGAACTACTTTATTCTTGTGTTAGCCAAAAACACTGACTAAACCAAGAAATCTGCTACAAGTCATGTAAACTTTTACTCTTGCAGTTTGTAGGAATTTAACTATTCTGAGTCCCCGTCCCACCTCTGGTAAATAAACTCTATTGATATGGCCTCTTTTTATGAACTGAAAGAAGGCATTCATTGTTATTGCATTTGTTCATGCCGCCTACAAAAACTTAACAATGGAGCAGTTATATCCTACTGCAATTCAGAAAGTAAATACTTAGTTCTGAAAGGATATGGAGTGGAAAAAGCGTATTTCATTTATCTTGATCTCTGTATGTCTTTTCTATCATGGGAGATAGGCACTAAAATTAATTTTTTTGGGGTAGCCAAGATTAAAGAGAGATTAAAGAGAGATTACAGAGAATAAATAAAACCAAAAATTATAAAATCCTATTGCTTTTGAAATAACTGAAAGTCTTTAATGTATTCATGGTAACATGAATTTTCTATACACCCTTTTTACCAATTCCATATATTCTGTTTACTTGAGTAACACCCATTGCTCTAAGGAACACTAAGCAGGCCTGTGTCTTCCTTGACTCAGTCTGGGACATACATCACTATGTTAATCACAGCTTTTCTTTCAAACTTCTGTATCATTCAGTAATAGATATAGTGCTATCAAGAGTAAAAATTTTTGAGCTGTTTTTCCTCCTTCTCCCTGAATAGCTATCAGTCTGTTGAAGCATGTATTCCCTGCTCTGTCACGCTCCCTCTTTTCATTACTGTTTCAAGGATACCTTAAATGGGTCCATTCATTAACAGCAGAAGTGGCAGAAAAGATTCATGCAGCCTTTTTGTCAGCAGGCAAAACTGTCTTGAAGCTGTGGCTGCGTTATGGTTGAATTACTAAGTCAAGGGTCTGTGAGAGCTCATTTAGCAACTGGTTCGTCCCCCAGGACTTGTTTCTCTACTTGGGAGCCCCTACACCCAAGATGGGCTGTTTCTCCATGCCAAGCATCAGAGCAGTGTGCAGCTGCATCTCCATCCTTCTGAAGTGATTTTGGAGTGTCTATCAAATGTAAAATAAAGAGAAACAAAATAGTAATGCGGGTGGTGGTGGTATTTGATGTAGTGGAAGTATTTGTTTTTCAGGAGGTGTCATGGCACCAGCAAGTGAATCTGTGCTGTAGCAGCCATCGATCTGAACGGCTCCAAGTTGTACAAATCCATCGGAGGTGGATTCAAGGAACTCTTCTTTTCTTCACAGTGTAGCTTGTTATTGATTTCTCTTCTTGCACCGTTTTACTCAGCCAGGCAAGGAAGATTAGGAAGATTATCTTTGGGATGTGTGCTATCCTGTTACCTTGGTTGTACTTAAGAGATTACAGGGGTATAAATGTGGTGCATCTGGAGGTCAAGGCTGCGACTACACAGCTCTGAGTGCTTACTGCTGTTGCACTTGCTATAAATTTCTTCCTTGTGATTCCCTGTTTAATTTTTCACTTGCTTAGGTTAATGTGTCACGCAGCCTAAGCATTAAATGTCTGTGGGGAAGGGGGTGGAGTTCTGACATGAATTGTAAGATTTGAAAAACGGTAATTTTGAGTTTCTTTTATATTTTCCTCACTGAAGTGCCCTGGACAGTAAGTTCAACCTAGCAAAGCTTTCTGACTTCTCATTGTCACGTGCAGTGGGCTGATGGGTTGGAGGTGGCACACTGAAGACTCATGTTGTGTTTATCCATCACTTTCTTCCTTTTAAATTCAGCATTCCAGCAACAGGAAGAATAGAAGAGTGACATGACAGTCATATTTTGTTTCAGCTAGACTTTAAAAAGTCTGTCATTTGAGATTTTAAGGGATATTGAAGAATCAGACATGAAATCTGCAATTTTCCTTAGTTTGTCAATTAATTTTCTCAGAGAATTTTATCAAGGCTGTGGGTAGAAAGTGTTATGCAGGATTAATGCAAAACAGTGTAATTGAAGGACTGCTCTGCTTCCTGAGGGAAAAAGAAATCGCTGCAAAAAGAAATAGCAGTAAGGCTGCACTGGAAATCTGAAAGTGTAAATGCTAGATGAGAGGAACCAAGCTCAAGGAAGTGGAAAGACAATTTTTCTTGCTAAAACCAGGACTTGTTAAGTTCTTCCCTGATAAAAAGAGTGCACTAAACAATCTGTGTCCCTCTTTCTTGGTAAGAATCACAGCCTTATGACTACATTTATTGCAGTAAGGTACTCCAGCCAAACCACTCTTTCACCCAGTCTTTCCAGACTTTCCAGAATTCATCTTAACCACACATTTTAGCTTTGGATGCATTTCTTCCTCTGCACCTGCAGCTCCTAACACTGTTTGAGATATGAGGATGACAACCAGGCTGTCAGTCAGCAACTGGGGTACCTCTGCAGCCACTGCAGCCCACCTGTATGTGGGGGCAGGGAAGGATCTTTGAATCATATTTGGATTATGTTGGAAAAGACCTCCTCAGATCATTCTTTGTTGCCCTTCTTTGGACATTCCAGTGCCTCAATATCTTTCTCAGAGTGAGGAGCCCAAAACTCAACACAGTACTTGAGGTGCAGTGTCACCAGTGCCAAGTAAAAGTGTCTGCATTCACTGCAGTATTGTTTTTGTTCATGGCATAATAATGTAAAGAATAGCTTTGCTGCAAACTGTGGCATCACGCACAGAAGACTAATTTTTTTAGATTTTCCATGAAAAAAAAACCAAATCATAAGAACAAAGTACTATTTATTTACTCTTTCTTCTGACTGTTTCAATTCTATCTTTACTTATAGGCTAATCAGGGCAACTATCTCACACTGTAAATGGAAAGGTGACTTCAGTATTATGTGGTTTAAGGCAGGAGTTGAAACCTTCATTTTTAAAGCTTATTTTCCCCAAACTTATATTCTCTTGACATTTTTGCTAGCTTTATTTCATATTCACTCCATCACCCCAGTTATTTTTTTCAGTTACTGGGTGACCAGCACTCTATACAATCTCCCTAATAAGTACCAAGAATGTCATAAAGAATTTACAAGTTTTCTGCCTCCATGGCTAGATGTCACTTTGTATGTAGCCCTAACATCTGACTTTCTGCAACCTTATCCAATTGTAAACGCAGGCCCTTTTATTGTTTGCTAAGCTCAACTCAGTGTTGCCACTTTCTGATTTATTTCTTCTGTTTAATATTAGTGTTAAATTATTTTTCCCATCTCTGTGTTTTTTGTCTGAGAAGTTTGGAGTGAAGGAGCTAGAAAACTGTTAAGAAAGCTATTGCAATATTCATGCCTGAGATTCTTGAGAAAACGCAGAATGACGACTCTCATTTTATTATTGCTGAATATTTAATTCAGTAGGCACTGTTCAGTAGTATAACAGACATCAACGCACAATATGTGCTACTCTGTCTGTGTAACTGCTGGGTCCTCTTTTTGCTATGTTATGTGTTATAGACAAAATAGTTCTTAGCTGTGTGAGTACCTGAGGATTATTTCTTAGGTTACAGTGTTACAAAACACACAAGTTTTCCATTGACTTGCATTCAGATCTAGGAAATCATTCACTTTTCTTTTTTCCTTTTCACTCATGAGTCCTAATGGTAGAATCAGTAGCACTTGTTTTCATGTTGAAAGCCGGAAACCATGCTTTTTGTTTAATTATTCCTGTAAAAGCTTTCACACACTGATGATTTTTGGTCTTTACTGAGCTGGTGGGATCATCCCTCTGATGACCTCAAGCCAGAAGGCAGAGCCCAGCCACCTCAGACTGGTGGGATGCAGCATGCTGGTTAGTGTTAGGCTGGGAGACTACTGTTATCTAGCTTCCTGATGCATTTTTCCCCACACTAGTATTCAGCTTTTCTGGCAGACCTACTTTTTGTGCCAATAAATAATGGAAAAAATAGTCATTTGTACTTTCTTTTCTTACAGGATTTACAGATAATCAGTACGGATGAAAACCAGGTATTTGTGGCTGTTCAGGAATGGTACCAGACAGACACATACAATCTGTACCAGTCCGACCCACAAGGCGTTTACTACTCCATCCTGCTGGAGAACGTCCGGAGCACGAAACAGCCAGAAGAGAATGTCCTGATAGATATTCTGGAGGTAGGCTTTTAGTTCTTCCAATCCCTGGGTTCTAGGTGGAGTGTTTATTCTTTTATTTGAATTATGAATATAAATAATTTTCACAGTTGTCTTTAATGTGAAGAGGCTAGGATTTCTTTCTTGCTGTTAGTGCATCATACTATATATGTGTTTTTCTCCTTTCCTGCTAGTGTGCTGTGAGCTGTAAGAACTAGATAATTGATATGACGTTACGGAGATGTGCAAAACCAGAGTTGATCAAGGCTTTCTGCATGTGAGAAATGGAGCTGACAGCACAATTTATTATTGAAGGAGGAAGTTATGTAGCTGCCTGTGTATGGCTTTTTTTTCTTCTCCATGGTACACTTCCTGACTTAGAGTCTCATAGCACATAGATCTTTAAATAGTAAACCTGAGAGCCTTGTGTTAGGTTTTGTGTCACCTCTGACAAGTGAAGAATCAACAAAATGAAATACTGGACAGCAAATTCACTTGCTTTCACAGGGTGTATTGTACCAGCAGCTTTTGCCATGTGATGCTATCTTATGAACAGTTCTATCTTTGATCTTACCTCTTGTGTGCTTTGCGAGGTAAATGAATAAAGAATATAGTGTTTTGGAAGGCATAAACTTGTCATCAATTCAATTCTTCCTGCTGCTGACTTTCATGGGAAGCAAGATGTACATTTGCACCAGTTTTCTTTCTTACAGCATATAGGACTGACATTAGCAGGATCTCAAACAGCATGGACCTTTGTTCTGACCCACTTTGGCCACTGTTATGCTCTAACTTGTCTGGTGTTAGTTTTCTGTTTTTGTTTTTGTGTTTTTTTTGTTTTGTTTTGTTTGTTTGTTTTTTACAAACAGGACTTCCTAAATGTACCAGCCTTCTTGTGGAAACTGGTCTGCAGTAATTCTGATTACAAGTCTTGCACTTACAGAGGTGCTAAATGGCTCTAAGCAGGCTATTCTTGGTGGGAACATGATAGCATTTTTTTTTTTCTGCTTTATCTCCTTCATCATTGATTAGCTTTTTCTTTTCAAATAGCTAGAGTAAAACATTTACTAATTACCAATTTAAGAACAGATTATTTTCTATGCTGACCCTATTTAGAAATGGGGCTTCTTTAATAAGTAAAGCTGTAGATCGTGTGCCACATTCCCACAGGGTGATATTACTGGGAGCAGTATTTTGCAGCTCATTGCTTTTGGTCATTCCTGCAGGATGCAAAGCCATAAGAGATTAAGGTACTATCTCTTCTCTCAGCATCACCTAGAGCACATCAGTTGTGTGGAGATGCCAACTCTCACTCTCCTTTTGTCTACAACAGTTAATTATTTAATTCAGTGTCACTCATAATTTAAGAATTTCACAGCGTTAATGAACAAAAGTGAGAGATCCTAGGTTGTTGTGTGCACAGAATTAATTCGTAGGGTTTCATTAAAAAGAATATGTGGAAGTGATGGAGTAATTGAAAGACAGATCTACATCTTTGGAATTGTTTTTGGAATTAGGTTGCATCATAAGAGGGCAATTTTATTTGCTTAAAGTAAGAAAGCCTGCAGCTTTCAGATAGCTTGTAAAATAAATAAATAGTGTTTATCTTCTTTACTAAATAGTGATTATCTACTCATATCTACAAGTAGCATATGGATTATTTACACTTTATAGCTAATAAAGATAAGTTGAAGACATTGGGAATGTGTTTTGGGGGAATTTTTTTTAGTATATTTTGATTTTCGTTCTGGACATTTTAATGCATGTATCCCATAATTGGAACAGAAATCTTCAACACAGAGGTGATCTTCAGTGGTTGACAATTTCCATCAGTGTGTAATTCTTAAAATTTTCACTGTTCTTCATTTCCTTTTGCTGTCTTCACTTCATCTTTGGCTGGTACCTATTATAAGATCTTTTACTTGTCTGCTTTCATTTTCTCTTGTGTACATGAGCTTCTTTGTACAGTATTTCATTTCTGCTAACGTTGCAAATGTGAATGGGGAATAATTGCCAAATATTCATTTCAAAGAATGGCATAGTATTAACTCTCCAAAAGCAGTATGCCATTGAAATCTGTATCAAGTGCCACCTACACGACTCAGTCACAAATTTGACTCAGTCATATTTGAAAATAGATAGACAAATGTGCTACTTCTGTACTGGATACTGGTTTGTTTCCTGTATGAGTAAGAGCTCCACAAGTTGGAGCATATGTTCTCCATGCTTACTTTCTTGCCTAAACAGTGACTCTTAGGCATTAAATTTTAATCGTATACTTGTTATATAAATGCATTTTTTTGTATTTCAGTAACTGCTGCTAATAAACACTGTGGGCCCATCTGAACACTAGCATCAAATACTGTTCAACTGTTACTAAAAGAAAAGTGCAGTAATTATTATCACAGAATACAAAGCCACAACAGCAAAAGTGTTTACACAATAGGTTTGTAAAGTGCAAAGGACCTTTCTAAAAGTACTGGGGAACCACAGTAAAAAAGTGGAAAAACAGCTACACTAAAAAAATCAAAAGAAAGCCAAAGGAATGGCATTCTTGAATTCCCTGACTTGTCTTACTCTAGGAAACTACTTTCATATTTTAGGTAGCTTCTGGATTGTGGCTGAGCACTTAAACACTCCCTGGTGTTTAAATGTCCTCTTTTGCACAGCATGTTATTTGCTATGCAACTCTTTTCCTTTTGTTGTAGAAAGACACTAATGTCCCACTTTTAAACCAGGAAAATAAGTCAAGGAGTGGAAAGTGACAAAGAATTTGTCTCATCATCACAATTGAACCCAGTGGGTAAATTCAATATGCAGATCTTAAAATATTTACAGAAAAGTCAGATATGAGTTTCCATAGGTCACAAGACAAATATGTTAGAAAGTGCTATATAGTGGCAGGGATGTTTTAAAGCTGTCAATTTTATGCAGCGTAATTACCATTTTTATTTGTTTATTATTATTATTATTATTATTTTTAGCCTAATGCACCACTCCACACTGTGAACGTTCTCTGAAGATAGATGCCTCTTGGAAACTCTTTTATTATTTCAAGTAGGATTTATGCCTTTCTTTCAAAACAGAGCTGCTGAAGTGCTGGTCAACTTTTATCTTTTAGAGCATTGGTGAGGTGTAATTAATTGAGACACTGGAATAATGTTTCTCATGATCTTTCTGTGCCTGATAGGATTCAAACTCCATATTCTGGAGAGGTGAGGTTACCCTAGCCACTTGGCTGGATTAGAGATGGGAATGGGAACGAAGAACTTTTTCAGTCTGACTTTCACCAAATGATTACATCGAGTGATTGAGCATTTATTAAGCAAGACTGAAAGAAGAAAAAAATATTCACAATGCATCACTGTTTTTGCCATCTACAAAAGAAGAGGGATTCCTCCCTTGCAGTCCTTGATCTAATTACTGCTTAAATGTTTAATAGTGTTCACTACAAAAAATATATGCGCAGTAATTGAAATGCAACTCTACCATCCTCAGTACATGTTTGAACTGCTCAGCATTTCAGTCATATTCATGTTCATGCTCTCTTTGGAAGATGGAATGCATAATAAATTCCCAGCAAGTTGAAGTGGCTTTGACAGTTAACAATGCACGTTCCTTATTTTTTCCACTCTTTCTTTTGTCACCTGCACTACCATGCAGTTAACTGCTGACTTGGAGTCAATGCTGAGCTTCCAGCATCCTGGAGGAGTAAGCTAATCACATGTACGTGGGTTTCAAGGAGGAAGGAGCTTGTGAGAACTTTGGGTAACAAAATAGTTATGGAAATTTGATTCTCTGGACTTAAATGTATTTCCAGGTTCTACGGTATTACTGTGACCAGCAGAATATAATCTCTGTAGACTTTGGTCAGTTCCTTAGAAAAAGAAATATATTTATGAATAATAGAGATCAAATCTTTAGCCTGCCGGTACGGATGCCTTCTCTTCAGCCTAAGTACAGACATTTTTTAAAATGTATATCAAAGGAAGTTAGTGGTAATTGGGGGAGGGGGAGAATAGGGAGAAAAAAGAAAAAGGAGGAAAAAACCCCAAGAAACTCTAAATATTTCTGATAAAGAGTAAATAGTAAGAGGCAGATATTCCTGTTTATGCTCAGACCTGCACAATTGGGCAGCTATACTATGCTGGAAATGATGTATGAGTAGATAGATGTTTCCAAGAATTTTTCAATAATTCAGAAAGCCTCTAAGTAATCACAAGGTAAACAGGGACACTCTTAATGAAACCTTCTAATTTGATGTGAGATCTTACCTCTTTGTCCTTTCCCTCTTAATACTTTGTTTTATTTTTATTTTTTCTCTTTTAAGCTATCATTCATTTCCCTAATGGAGAAAATACCAGAGGCATGCAGTTCAGAGCCACAAAAGAGCAGCTGATCAGCAATAATCCTTGCCAAAAAAAATGTGTATATGCTGGTTAATAACTTTTTCTCATTTATGCTTCAGGTCAGAGGTGTAAAAGGAGTCTTTCTGGCCAACCAGAAGATTGATGGGAAAGTTACAACCCTAATAACCTACAACAAAGGCCGCGACTGGGATTTTCTAAACCCTCCAGACATTGATATGAATGGAAAACCTACTAACTGCAAACCTGTAAGTGGTCCCATCCTCTGTCTGAAGTGCAAAAGAATTATTTGTATGGACAGTATGTGTAGCAGTGCAGGCAACCCAGGAGCTTTGTGCTGAGTTTACCAGCTAAATTAATACACAAATCTACTTGCAAGACATGAGCAGCGATTTTGCTAGCTGTTAGTCCAGTCATCTTGTACAGTGAATCATGACTCTGTCTGTAGCTCTGCATTACTTATTTTAGAGCTTAATTTGATGCAAAGAGGACAGCTTTTCTTGTGTGCCAACCACACAACTCAATTCAGAACAATCACAACAGTAAGTTGTTTCAGGATATGAGGCACATCAGATATATCTTACCAATACCTTTTTTGTTTCTGTCTTTTATACTTTTATTTCATCTTAAAGCAAGATAACCCTGTTAAAGGAGCTCTTGACAGTTGCTTGGAAATAAAAATCACATTTAATTGCATCAAAAAGTCTTTTTTTTTTTTTTTTTAAGATGATATTGTAGTCCTACCCATAGTTTTTTGCACTGTACTGAAAAGCTTTCACTGACACTCCATTCATGGGGACTCCAGGCTCTGAATTTCTAGGCAAAATAAATAGTTTCAGTCCTGCTACTGGCAGAAATGTAATCCTTCTCCACATAGAAAGGGGAGCGCTGGAGATGTGGGCTGCCATTTGAAAATTTCAGACTGTGCTATAGGTCTTAAACCTATGGGTCCTGAATCTGAGCTCTCAGATCAGTGGAAGAATAGCAGAAGCAGCAGCTCCTGAGCACCACTGGCAGGCAGCAATAATGACCTCCAAGTGCCACGGCAGTAAGTGCAAGAGGCAGTAAGTTGCTTAGCTAAAAGAGATGGTGATCATCCAAAAGTCATTAAACTATTTTTATATGATTTTTTTTTTCTAGAAAAGAAATTTCAGAAATTTTTAAATTAATCATCATTTTACCTAATTGACCAGCAAACATTCTAATTATTGCTGTTGCTGCTAGCTAGAGACTTTAAGCAGTTCCGTCACATGGATTTTTTATGCAATAATTTCATGCCAATTTCTTTTTTACTGTCAGAGTCAGACTATGGAGACAGACTCTTGTTAAATGGCTTCGCTTCGTGTTTTGGTCTTGACTCCAAACAGCCATTCTCTATAGGGATACATCAGTGCAACTGTTCTCTGTGTGGGCTTTCATTATCATATAAGCATAACTGTTACCAGCATTTTTTTTTTTTAAACTTCCCTTCTTTTTCCCCCACAAGCCTGATTGCTACCTTCACCTCCATCTCCGCTGGGCAGATAATCCATATGTGTCAGGAACAGTCCATACGAAGGATACTGCACCAGGGCTCATCATGGGGGCAGGTAAAAGCACGACATTATTTTGTAAGACCTGAAATGTAGTAGGAATTGTTGATTTAGTATTGATCTAGTATTTTGGATTATGGCATTTACCATTCTACAAACGTTACCAAAATAAGGCTCTCACTGAAGAATGTTCTCACTGAAGAACGTTCTTTTACAGGATCCCTGGATCAAAAAATGTAGTAAAAGTTAATTGAATCCCCCAGAGCTCAGTCTTCTAGGACAGATCTGTAACAGTTAATGCCATTATGTTTCTCTGTGTTGTTTAGTGTCTCTTTCTCCATTAGTGAAGTATGAAGCAATGGTGATGGCTGAAGGACCTGTCATGTTGCCTGGAAGTGAAGATCTTTACCATCTCCTCTGGCATCATGAACAGCCCAGTAAATCCAATAAATCTAAACAGTGGCCAAGTCTTTGTTCTTTATAAAGATCATTTGTTTTGTAATATTTACTAATTCCTTTCCACCTAAAGGGAGATGAAGTGAAAGAGGCAAGTGTGTCTTAGTGCTGAGAGCAATGCTGGTTGTGGCTGTTCCATTATAACACACATATGAGACCACGTTACTGTGAAGTGGAATTTAATAAAAGAAATTTCCTCAGAGTATTGACTACTCATCACTAAAAACATCATTCACGTTAGTCTGTTTTACTTTATACCCTTGTGATTCATTTATTCATTTCATTTGATTTTCCTTTCCTTTGCTTTAAAATCTTGAAATGTAACAGTTATAAAGTGCTTTTTAAGTCTCATTATTTTATTCCGTTGTTTTGAACTATGTTTAGATTAAATACACACGTGTTATTTCTCTTTTCATCAAAATGTATCTGGTTTTAATCAATAATGATTTCTGCTAGTGTCTTATAAAAGGGTTATTACATTGAAAATTTCCTGAGAATTTCAAGGCAAACATATTTGGTGTTGAAAGACAATGACAGCTGCTATTACTTCAATATAACTAGATTTCCTTACAGTAAATGGAGTTTAAGATATTTTACTGGAAGCAGACCTAAATGGAAAATGCTGCTATGTTTTTATTGATGGGAATGAGACTAAGAATGTGTAAGATGCCTTTGTGGATACATTTCTTGGAAGTATCTAAGTAGATATTTAATTCACATTTAATGCATTTCAGTGTTTCAAAAAAAAATAACCATCTCAAGGATCTTCTTTTACATAAAGGTACTTCCTATTCTGATGGAGGTTCTTACTTTATGCCGCTGCCTTTTGGAATGAAATTAAGCAATGTGGTTTTATAAATTAGTCTGATACTTGTATTTCATTTTTCTCTGTTCTTGCATTATTATCTGGTGTGATTAATTGATACTCTGGGGGATTTTGGTTTATTTTCATTTGGTTGGGTTTTATGGATACTTCTAAAGTGCACAGCTCTGAGGTGATAACATGGATGGCAGGTTGAAGAAGAGTACTTTGCACTTAATTCCTTCCTGGAAAACAAGACCATTGAGGAATGGCTGAAGGAACTGGGACTGTTTAGTGTGGAGGCTGAGGGGAGACCCTTATTGCTCTCTGCAGCTACCTGAAAGGAGGCTGTAACAAGATAGATGTTCTCTTTTCTCAGATGACAAGTGACATAGGACATGAGGAAACAGCCTCATGTCACACCGGGGGAGGTTTAGATTGAATGTCAGGAAGAATTTCTTCATGTAAGGGATGGTTAGGCATGGGGACAGGCTGCCCAGGGAGATGGTGAAGTTGCTATCCTGAAGGTATTTAAGAGATGGGATTGTGGCAATTATGGACATCATTTAGGGGTGGGCTTGATAGTGTAAGGTAATGGTTGGTCTTGATAATCTTAAGGGTCTTTTCCAACCTAAATGATTCTGTATGATTTTATCACTTTGATGTCTTACCATGCCTGGTAAATAAGCTTATCAACAGCTTTCCTCAACATGAGAGCCTTTTTAATTTCATCCAGATATCATTAAGAAACTGTCTGATGTGTTACATCTGACCTGATTGTTGAGCGACTTGTAATGGAATTAAAATGGAAGACACACCATCACTCATTGCCACTAGCTAAAGTAAGGAAAAAATTTCCAGGGATAGTGCAATATATTTAACTTTGGTTGAAGGTTGCAAACAGAGCAGGACTTTGTTTTGTAAGTATGAAAGAGCATCTGCATGCTTGCAAACAGATGACCTGACTCAGCTCTGATTTTGTCTTGCATTTGTATGATTTGAATGCTCGGGTCATGTAGATTCAGTGCATGTACCCAGTCTTATCTGGCAAACCTGATATCCTTGTAAACTTACCCTTCTTATCAGAAATAATTTACATACAAGCTTGCATTTTTTTTCTGTCCTGATTCCCAAAGTTGATAATCACATGCAAATCAGCAGAAGTACTGGTTTCTTTGCACATACAGAAATCAGATTATCTGGACTACATTACACTCTATTGGAATTTCACTGTTAGAATTAGTGAGAGCACATCATCTGCAAATGGCAGATGATGATATAGATCCAGGAATGTCAGTTGATCAGTGTGACTATGAACCATCAGTGCATTGTGCTGTGGAAAAGGGAAATGTATTCTGAGGGTAAAGTAGGTAAATAATAGCCAACAGGGAGAGGGAAATATTAATTATCTGGCAAAATACTGTACTAATAACAGTGTGTACAGTTCTGATAATCATTTTTCAGGACCAGTGAGCAGATGCTAAGAAGGACTACTTGGCAATTGATGGAAGCAGAGATTCTGTTTACATGGAGAATCTCATTAGCTGAGAAAAGTAAAGGCCAATAAAGAATATGATTTATTCCTGAAAGTGTAACCATGGGATAGAAACAAATGGAAGTAAAGAGATGTTCAGTGTATGTGTGGTATAAACAACAACTGGATAAGAACTGGAAATCAGAGAATTGTTTGTAACCATAAGAACAATGAAACTGCTCCTCTCAATGAGAGCATTGTGGTTGTTAATCAGAAGGCTAAACAGCAGCAACAAAATCGCTGTAGTGTGGAGATTGGCTACATAACAGAAAGGTGATATAACACAGTTGCTTCTGACAATTGAAAACATAACCTGTGACTTAAGGATTGTTTTGATAGTCAGCTTGAAATGTAGACCACAGAGATATCTGATTATTGTTTTCATTTAAAAGAATAATTAAACAGGAAATAGCATTAATGCCTAGAACCTTTGGGGAAAATGTAATAATTTGGTGTTAAAATTGCATCTTTTATAAATCACATTTACAAGTAAAAATTGAACTCTATTAAAGTTGTGTAAGTAGTTCTAAGGAAAATGTATTTGTAGCTTATAAATATATATAAATTTTGCAGACAGAATATGAAGTTTTATAGCTGCATATTAAAGTGTTCATTCAAGTAACTGGTTTGCTCCCTTTAAGAAATGTAATAAGATTTTGCATTTGATTTTTGTGCATTTTGATCTTGGCAGCGACTTCTTTTTTCACAGCATCAGCTATGAAATGTGTGTCAATTGATGTGTAAATTTTTTTGCTATAAACTTGTGAAGGACTTTTTTATGAAGAATGTTTAGAGAAGTGTAGACTTTTCAGGTGCTGGTTTACTGTAATTCTCTGCTTAGTTTCCAGTCCAGGTGGCAAGTCAAGCAAGCGGTAAATTTTGCACATCGAGGAAGTGCTGGAAAGTTCAGTTTACTTTTTGTCACATCTGGCTCAAATACATTGCATATATTGTGATAAATTTATAACATTTTTCACAAAAGTAGCATACGGAGCTGCCGCTACAGAAAGGATGAGGGAACAGGGAGATGACAGAGCATTTCCTAGAGTGAAGATCCTGCAATTCCCAAAGACTTTTCTCATGTCATGTTCCCTGACTCTGTGTGAATCACTCCCTCAGTCAACACTTCTTCATTTTGCCAAGCAAAAAACAGTCTATCTGGGAACTGAAACACAAATTGGTTGTATGCATCTTCTGTGCTGACTAGTAGTTTACAAACCATGACATTTTAGCTTGTTCATTGGCTAAAGAGATGTCACAGCTGCATTAATTAACAGTCAGTGAAGGCACAGGGCATTTACCTTTTTGGAGTAGGTACCTGCCTGTATGCTAAATTTCAGTGGCTGGAAAAGATTTTCCATGTTTGAAGTGTTGCTTATGGAGATTATTTCTTCTCATGGTAAGCATGTCTAAAATCACATTAAAAATTTGACTAATACAGTGATAAGTAGTGATTAAAATGTGTAAATTAATAATAAATTGTAAATGAAATTGAACTCCCATGTTTGCATAACTGTAGATATCTGCTAAAATGCCTGAGCTGGAACTTTAAATTAACTAACTCTCTTGATGTCTCTGTTCTCACAACTATACCACATTTCAAGAGAGCTTGACTGTCCACTGATCATCATTAAAATGCAGTTTTATTTCAGAAATCAGATCACTGTGCTATCAACTGTCAATTTGGCATGTGCAAAGTTAGGAATAGCTTGGAGAAATGCATGGAACAGCAGTCTGCCCCTGTACTTTCAGCCTTGCCACTCTTGTAGAGTTGGAACTTGCGTTTTATGGTTACCTCACCCATTCCAGATGCAGTAACTTTTTCAGTGTGAACTTGAATTGTGCTCAGTGTATTATATTACTTTTACTTGTTACCACAGAAGGATTTTGAGATGTAATACCCAATAAAATGATGAAAGGGTTCCATGTTGTACTGACACATCTGAGGAGTTACTTCAGACTTTTATAACTATAATAAAGAGCATAAAATTTAGCACGATTCTCCAGACAACCAGCTTGCTGTTATATCTGTGGGTTGTGTTACAGTTATAACATACCAGGATATGGTGGGTAGCAGGATGGCATTTAAAGACTGTTCTTTTTTTGGATGAGACATTTGATGTCTTTGACTGAAGTGTTGGCTCCCAGTCTTAAGAGCTGAACAGAATTTGGCTATTTTTTACCTTCTGTATCCCTTGATTGTGATGTCAGTTTTGTTACATTTTATTGGCCACCACTCTTAGCACAAATATGCTCATAATTGCATTCAGACACAGAAAAGAAATTTTAGGGTATTTCGGCTCTATTTTCTGAGTGCTTGTGCTTGTGTGACTTTGCTGTTATTTGTTTATAAGGTTATTAATGTCAGGACTTTCTTTGCATTTCATTTGAAGTGAATTGGAGCTGCTGGAAAAGAGTTTATGGGGTGCTGCTACATGTGCTTGTTAGCTGACTTAATTCAATAAAACCACACACTTTGAGATAGAGCCTTGAATCAAAACTTTTTACTCAAATATAACAACATCTTTGAGGTTGCATTTTACTAGAGTATAAAAGTTTAAACAACATAATTCTTTAAATAGGGAAAACTCGTAATTCTCTTTTTACATAGATTAAATAGAAAGGTTTGGAGACGTAATTTGTAGATTTCACTTTATGAAGTTTCCAAAATGAAGTGGTAGATATGTTTCTCCTAAAAAAACTGGAAGTATTGGACATTTCAACTTTCATCAATGCTCAGAGCATTACATCAGCAATCAGAAGTCCCTGCATGCATCACCTCTGCATTTGATTTTTTTTTTAACCTTGACCATAAAATGGGCTCCTTTCAGAGGTCAGAGAGCAGTGTTTTTTCCCAAAGCAATCCATCTCCATGCCAATTTTGTCATTAGTTGTATTTTTGACAGAATAGTGTTTCTCTCCAACTATAACTGAATCCATTTCCTTTTGTTCATTTACCAAGAAAAGACAATAGAGGTAAAACCAGAGCAAGGAGAAGTCATGGCTGACAAAGCTGCAGTTGCAAAGATCTTGCTGATACCTTTGTTATTAGTGTGTCAGCTGGATAAAAGTCTTTCTAATGAAACAAAAGTTAATGATGTCAGTTTACAGACTTATTCTCCATTAGCTAAGGCAGTTTACCACTGCACTTTTTAAAGTGCAGCTCCATAGCACTTCTCAAAATAAAGATCTACTCATGTAAATAGAGTTCTGTTGACAAGAAGGTAAGAGAGACAATAATTGGCATTTATCCAGGAGCCTAATGGCCTCCAAGAGTGGAGTCTTATTTTCAAAATGACAAAGCTAGCTATATCTGTGATGAACTACTTGATAAATGAGAGCATGGAGTTGGCTGGAAAGAGGTAAAACCAAGAAGGAGCAGTTGAAATAAATGAACTCCATCCTATAAATTCTCTGATTCTACATGAAGTTTAACATCATCTCATCTAGGCTGTATACAGGATTAAATAACATAGGTAAACCGTTAAGTGACATAGCACACTCAGTCTTGATGGTCCAAATAGAGCATGTATTTTGAGCAGTGCACGTAGTTATTCTTCTCCAGAACCTTTCAGCTCTAATGACCATACACCATAAACAGATCTGTTTTGGTGGTAAAAACAGCTATTTATATAACACACAAGTGAAATTACATACTGCTATTGTAATCTCATGGGTTTTCTTTCCTAATCTCTTCTGTTTAAGAGTATCTGATAACTTCTCTCTTTCTTTTTACTGTAAAAGCATGCAATGCATATATTTAAATCAAAATCCCCTAAAAGGACATTGTTTAGAAAGGATTTGGAGCTATGATTGGTTCTCCACTATAACACTGTGAACTGGTGATTTAATGGCTTGCTGTTTTAAGCACCACAAGTTACAAGAGATCTTACAATTTGGGGTTACATCTTCTACAGACTCGATTTAAAAGTTTGTTTCAAGACTTTTGTATGCAAAAGTCAGTAATCTTCACAGTAATCCGAATGCTAGCTGCAAATCTTCAGTGTAATTTGTCAAAATATTCCATGGCTTCTTGGTGAATACTTAGATACAACAAGTAATTCTGCTCTAGACTTTCGCATTTACAGAGCTTTTTGGACCATAAGCCCTCTTTTCAGTTATACTTATCTAGATCCTGGATTTTTCTACCATTCCATAAAGTCTTACATTTAAAACTTTTTTTAAAACATTTCAAGTTCAAAATGAATAATTTTACATAATGTGATTAAGGTATGGCTTCTGAGTTCATGTACATTTTGAACTTACATCTTAAATGCACGTTTTAATATCAGAATTAAGCCTCATTGCTCCTGCCTATATGCAACTATAGGAATGTAAATAAATAGATTATATAGATTATATAGATATGATGCACTTTTTTTTTTTTTTAAGAGACTATGTCTGTTGGTAATAAAATAAAACCACTCATCGTCTGAGTTTTGTTCTCACTCTGACTGCTGCCAGGACTATTTCCAGTCTCTCTTGTTAATTGGGTGCCCCCTTTTTTCCTTATCTTTTGTGACAGGTAACCTGGGGTCTCAGCTGGTTGAGTATAAAGAAGAAATGTACATCACAGCTGACTGTGGGAAGACATGGCGCCAGGTAGGAAACTGAAATAATTTCAGGCAATTTTAAATCTGCCCAATATATTGAATTTTATTATGCATAACTTATCTTTATATACCAACTCTTTTGAGGCAGGTGGCCATTATTTTGCAAGTGAGATGTGGATACTGAGAGATTAAGGAGGTGATTTGCAAAGATCTGAATTGGTTGGGCTGTCAGATTCTCCTGAAACTCAAATATTTTGGTCTCTTTACAAATCTTCTAAGTATCTTGCATAAGAAACTTGCAGTCCAGTTTGGTTTATTGTAATTTCAGTAATCTTCCTATGCTAATGAAGAAGTAGACTTGGGCTAAATCTTGCAGTTTGAATATTCCAAGCTTAAAACTAGGGATTGCATAGGAAGGAGGAAATTGTTCTGCTTTGCAGTTAAAACTGCTTTTAAAGCTTAAAGTTTGTTCTCCAGTGGAAATGAGAACACAAAAAGAGATTGAAAAAAAAATAGCAGTAAACCTTTGAATGTCTTTTAGTATGATTTAATCAATTACAGGACTAAATACATTAAAGTATTTTAAAAAAAATCCCAGTCTTGTAGTAGTTGAAATGACATTTGATTTTTGGATGCCTTATGTTTCCAATACATAGTGTTGATTTAAACATTGCACCTTTCTAATTTACTTTGTTTTAAACTGCTCTGCCTCAGTGATATTTTCTTTAAGAGTGTAAATGTCCATAACAATAGTAATAAGACATGAGCAGGTTTTGTAATCTACTTTTAATGTATATCCAGAAAAAAGAAAATACAGCATTCAAAGTACCAGTATATCAAAAAGTATTTTATTTCAGTTAAAACAGTGTTTTAGTGTTCTACTGAAATAAAAGCTGTGTTATTATCTGAGAATAAATAAGTAGGAAAAGGCACTCACTAGTGTTATTAAGCTCAGCACCTTCAACATAAGAGTAAATACAGGCATTTTCTTATATTGCTATTGCAGATTGCCATTAATACTCTGCAAAAGAACTTTTAAAATATATATATTATTTTTATCATGGTAATGTTCTTTAAGTTTTAAAAGATAAGATTTTATGCCAAATTCTTTCTTGAATTCTAGCAGATGATAAATAGGTGTTTAAATGCAAAAGCCTTCCAGAATTTACAGCTTGTGCTTTGCTATCTCATACTTAACAGAGGCCTCTCATGTTTTATTGTCACCATTTCCCAGAGTTCCATAATTTTGATAGAGTGAGAAATAAGAAGGAAAGAGTGATGGAGATCAAAGTCATATTTTGCTGCTTTTATTTTTGAGATACTCCAACAGATGATGTGTGTTGGAACTTGACCTTAAGATGACTGTTCGAACTGTAAAACCAGCCACAAATTAATCCTTATTGTGACAGTCAAAATCAAACCCACCATTGCTCACTTGATTTTAATTAAAACTGCTATGAAGTCTTGGAAGAGCTTACTCAATATTTGCTATCAGAATGAAAATGTAGATTGCTATATATACAATCCATGTGTTTTCCTTTCTCTGTTGGAACTCATGAAAAAAAAAAAAAGACAAGAATTTTGTCATCCGTGATACAGGAATTATTTGGATAGAAAGTTACAGCTTTTCTGTGCTGGCAGAAGGAGAGCAAAGCTCACGTTCAGTTACATTTTTTTGGGGTGGGTTTAAGTCTCTGCCTTGGAAACTTTGAGGCTGTGATTGTTGAATCCCTGTCACCTTTCTTACATTCCATACATGAGGTTGCAGAACTGTCTATAAACTATGAGAAGAAAGAGCTATCTGCTTATGTAGAGTGAAAAAAAAAAAAAAAAATAGAAAGGTAAATATGGAGAACTTAGGAGAAAAGACTGTTCAAGGAATTGAATAAAAGCTTTCCTGAAATAATAGCAATATTGGCACTGGGACTCATAGGAATGTAGGCCTAGGAGGAAGGTGGAAGATAATCCAACCACCTGCGCTGAAGCAACATCAGTTGTACCAGAAACAAGTTAAAGAGAGATTTTCAAGGCCTATTTGTTAATCCTTAACTGTAGGAGATTCTGCTGTGCTCCTATATGGTGTTTTACTTCACTTCATAGATTTTTTAACATTTAACATAAGCTGCTTTGCATATCCTTGCTTTTTGTAGTTGTTCTTGCTGTTCCACAATTTTTGCAAGGTAAGCTGATTTCTTCCTGTCTTTTGGGAGCTGAGGTTTTCTGTCAGCTTTAAATAACCTTTCAGATGTTGAAAGGCAATTATCATGTCTACCCATAGCACAGGCTTTTCGCCCCCTTTTCCTCCCCCCACCCTCTGGAAGGAAAGCAATTTCAAATCTGCCTTTTTTCCTAAGAGATGGAGTTTCTAAACTGCTTTTCCCTTTTGTTGTTTGTCGATCAGACTATCTAAAATCTCCTGAAGAATGGAGAAACTGGATACAACATTATAAATTTTATAATTACTAATCAGAATGAAATGATTTCCCTTGACATCTTGGCTATCACCTCACTTCAGGAGGAGATCTCTCTTTTTTGTACTAGAGCATCACATTGTTAACTTGAATTCAGTCTGTGATTTGTAAATGGGACCAGTCCCCATATTTGTAGTTCATCCTCAAATTAAAGAAAATCTATTGATCATTTTCCTTCAGTAATGTCTGAATCTGTTTTGTACACTTGGAATGATTTCAACTGAACTTATGTTTCCATGGCTTTTACGTGGTATGGTCACATGAGAATTCAGGTTTATTTACTATGGCAGACAGCACAGCTGATAGGTACAAATCAAAATGCCCAAAAAGAGTTCCATAGAATTAAGTTCCATAGAATTAATACTTTCAGTAAATGAAAAAATAAAAGCAAAGATTCTAAGTAGCCATAATGCAATGTGGGCTGGTTACAGTTGTTCTACTGCCTTTCTGTTGCATGATACCTGTCTTGCTTATTGGTGTTTTTTGAAAACAGTACAGAACATTTGAAAGCATAATGAAATTTGTGATGGTGTACTGTATGTACAACAGGTTTAGGAGCTGATTGACAAGTAGTTTAAATGTCCATGCAGCTGCATTGACCTGGAATGTATGCAAGAGAAATAAAAGTAAGGACAAGAACAGGAAAGCTTTTTGTGTTTGTTCTGCTATGGAAGATCTAGTGGAGCCACAATATATTCTACTAGCCTTCTAAGGTTACACAGTGCACCTAGGAAGTGAACCTAGGTCTCTGGAGCTCCAGTTCATTGGTTCAGTTGTAGGAATACTCTTTATCTGTGTCAAATCCTTTCATATCAAAGCAATCTGGAATACCTTTGTATAAGCAAGACTACTTTTTTTTTTTTTTTTCTGCAGACATCTTAAGGGATGGATGGTAATACTTATAAGCACAATGGTAAAGGATGCAATCCCAACTTCTTACCACTGTGAAGGTCCAGCTACCTCCTTCTGCTGTAGGAAAATTACAGATTTGGATTTAGAAATGGATGTCGCTTTGTGAGGTGCAAGGGACCGAGTATTTTTGGTTACTTCTAAGATATCTCAGAGTAAAATTGTGTGCAATTAATTTCTATGGAGTCATTTAGACATGTTCAGTTATTTTATGGAGCTCTCTTAATTGCTCCCAACAGACAACCTGCAATAGGCACAGGAGCAAACAGAGAGAGAGAGATGGAGAGAGAGAAGTTGACTTCACAATTATAAAGCAAATAAATTTATCGAAAACATTACAAAAGAAGGAAAAATTTAGAAACAGGTTATAGTAATTTAGTTCTGTGATTCTTGGCTACTAGTAAGAATCATTATGAATTTATTATCTGATGTCATTTAGTGGAGAGAGGTCATAGTTCTAGGCTGTCTGAGAACATGCCTATCAATTGTTTTCAGGTTCTGATTTCATGAATTCATTATTATATATTATATATATAATATATATATTATATAAAATGCAGGAATTGATACTTGCCTTCTAGTTAGAAAGTATTTGAAATGCATGCAAGAAGAGCATGATATAAATATGACATTTCTATACCTGTAATGAGTTTGCTGTGCTTTATAGCATGCCATAGTTTACACAGGAGTGGGTAAACCTGGTGTGCTGAAATGGTGCACTAGGAATTGCCATGGTGCTTTTCTGGGAAACCCTAAATTGGATGAAGTTATGCAGACAATGTCTTCCATTATCTTCTGTATGAAGGTTAAGCTTTTGGAAACTTCTTGTTCTGGCAATGCTGCAAAAGTTCAAATGAAGTTTGAAGGAGAATCAAAACTCTGCTGGCTTATCTGAGTTGAAGCGATCTCATCCTTTTGAAGTACATCTAAAATGAATGTCTGCATTTCACTGAATTGTCTTCTAAAGTGTGTAGCTGAATGGAACAAGTAGATAGGACTGTAAATGTCCCATATCAGGGTTCTGTCAGTAAATTGACAACACCAAAAAGCCAATCAAACACTCGAAACCCTAGGAATCCCATAACACGTGTTCTTACGAAATAAGAGGAATATTGAATTCTAAAGGCAAATTAAGTGCTTGCTATTTTTGAAGTAATTGTGAATGTGCTGTATGATTAAGACTTTTTCTCTCCTTGGTTCGGTCCTACTTATTTATCTCCTAAGTGTAGTGTTTAGCACTGTCATTAAAAAAAACATTGTGTATTGTCTGCATTTTCTCATTCACAAGGCAAGGTTGAGCTCACCTTTATGTTTTTTTCTTGGGCTTTGTCAAAGTGTGGAGGAAGCTCTGTGTTCTATGAACTGTTATGTGTGTGCATAAACTCTCACTTTATCATTTGATCTTATGGTAAATGAACTTTCACTGGCTAATAACCTGAGTAAACACCAGCTTAAAACAGATAACAGATGCAGAAAATAAGATATTTCTTATTCGTTTATTTTAGTACTACTGATGACCTCTAGAAAAATGAATGAAAATAATTTAGGAGATTTTGAATACTTTATACCATTAAATCAATATTACATGTACTATGGTTCAGAG